GTGTGTCACCTATATCAGCCAACACGAGATTCTCAAACGTGATAACGGTTAATTGCAGAACTGGCAGAGGAACTAGCAGAAAATCTTGAAGTAATAATCGCAGTCCCATTGTGGAACGGCTTGAACAGCTGATGATGACGTTAAATTTGGCAAACAGGTATCGGACATGACCCGGTTAAACTCTCTGGACTAGAAGTTTAACGGCAATCCGACCGGATAAATAAATTCATCAGAAAAGACCATGTGCATTTCCTAGAAGTTTTTGTGTTCATTTTCCAGGCCTTTCAAACCTAGTTTTTCAGGCTCCGCCTTCAATTGAACGGCCCAAATGCGCCGTTTGGTAGGTCTAACAACAATACATCCAACGTTGGAGATAAAATATCTCACAAAACGTAATCGCAAAATGAATCGGTTCCGGCCACTATCTGGTACGATTACTAAACCGCGTTCTCAAGTGCAGTCACTTGGAATGTTGCAAATCACATATCCAAGGCTAAAAATATCCAACGAAATGTCAAAAGAAACAAGAACAAGGAACACAGTTAAGGAGCCGGATCGATAGGACATTCGGTTCGTTCAATGCCTTTGTATATGAGTGAATTTTTTTCATAACTAAGGTCATGAGAGATTGAGGCTAATCAGGTCGGTCAGTAATGCACGTTGGGACCAAACTTTTACTTATCATTAGCGCACAATTAATTAAATACAGTAGTCCTTTTGAGGAGCATTTCACTGATGAATGAACTTCAAAAAGAAGGGGACGTTGTGCTGCGGCTTCATGCTTGCATTGCATAAAGCTGAACTTTTGTCCGTGAACACCCGTAATGAGTGAACACCTCCACCCAGTTCTTTGTGGCTTTCGCTTTTAAAAGGGACCCATGTAAGTTAAAGCACCTTCAAACATTGTTCAACAAACATTGCACCTAATGGTGAATATCTGGCTGATGTGGAAGAAGGTGGATCGCCGAACGAGAGATTCAGTTGTGCCTCCCGTGAAAACCAAAATCAGTCCAATTTAGATTTGAGTAGAACATCAGGTTGACGGAAACTCCGGGACTGCACTTACCTGATGGGCCCTAAGAAGGATGAAACTGGTCATGTCCTGTTTTCAGCAAACTTGTGAGTGGTGTCCCTCATGAAAATATATTGCGATATCTCGAATATCGTATCAACGGAAACATGGAGCGGTTTTGTGCAGCACATTCAGTTGAAGAAACGATTCAGGTGGGATTCATTTGAGTTTCACGTTAGAACCGATTCGGTATGCAAATAAGTGCATTTCATAAATAGTTCGAGTTTTGTGTGTTTTCGTATTCCAGCTTTGCTAGTAGGCACAGACATTATCGGTTTTAAAAGAACTTTATGACGGAGTGGCTAACAGCCATTGTGCTGTTTCATCGTGTTATGCAAATGAGTTCAATCAGTCATATAGATAATTTTCTGTAGTATTTATTCACTTCAGAAGAAATGAAAAAATTGAACACTTGAGTACTGTCAGTGCAGGAGAAATATGATGTATTCCCTTCTAGTTAGTCCAGCCAGGAAAAAGTGCCCCACTCAAGGGATATCCTAGAATTCCCTAGCTTTCTCAGCCATTTGGATGGGCGGCTGTTCCCATGAATCTAAACATCTTGACAGTGATGCAGGATATGCCCGTGTGTTTACACTATATTACGATGGTTAACTTACAGTGTCATACGAATTAATGCGCTGCCATATTCTTACTCACATTATCGTGAGTTAAAATCTCCTGCACGACGGGAAAGACTAGCTGACAATGCACACACGTAACACTCACCGATTTAGAAAGGACAATTCAACTTCCGAATTACATGCCAAATATCCGGAATTCCAAACGACATCCTACTCATGTATATCATTGTAAGGTACTACTCATAAGGTTGCTGAAAATCCTTCGACAGCCCACATCACGAATGAGAGATTCAGCTGGGTTCCAGGTGGGTCTCTCGAAAAAACCAAATTAGTTTGCAAATGAGTGTATGTTCGCTGGCATCCTACTCAGTTCTGACGCTCCCCTTGTTGTGAAGTACGCAAAATATATGCTACAGTTTGATGAAACTACGATATCATCTACCTCCGCAGAGGGAAACAAACCGGTTTGAGAGACACTTGTTGCAGCACGAAAGGCATCTGGCCCCAGACACTCGAACACCAACTATAGATATCACAATGGAAATACTACGAGAGTTCCACATGTGTTAAGCAAACGTGACTTTTAATGTCATAAACACTATTGATACCCTGTTGGGAGTCGTTGAAGAAACACTCTTTATTGGGCTTGACTTGTTCGAAATCTAAACCCAAGATTAAAGGCACAAGATCGTCCATGGTCATACAACATGAATTGAAGGAACCCGAGCGGAACTTTAAGGTGAAGCAACGCTAGACAGCTCGATATTTGTAGACTGCTCAAAAACATCCATCGTTTTGCGCTCAAAGTCTTGATTTTCATTCGTCTTCAGGAAGGTGGCACAAAAATCTTTGTCTCAGTAACCGAAAAGATACTGACTGACCATCTTTTGGGTCCTTTGCAATTTTGCGCTAGTCAAAGTTGCTCCCGAAATCGCTGCAACATTGGACGTGCTCAACATTCGATTTAGATGAATTCTAACATTCCATCGAACTTGGAGACAAATAAATTGTAATTGTTGCAGCGAGTAGAGCATGTGAGACGACTGACATTGGTCATCCCGTGAGAAGAAGCCCATGTCAATTTCTTCATTAGATTGCTTTGTTTATTAGGCAGTAGATATACAACATAACTCATCCCATCATCGATAGACCTCGAAAGACTTATTCGGCCATTAAAACCAGTTTTTCTGTCATACCGCTTGGCTCCGTTTGTGACGGCCCGACTAAACGCTCTCTCAAAAACGCACTTATTAGCTGTAACGATTGGGAGGTTTCAGGCATAAGATTATAAATCAAGATGGGCTACACATGGGTGGTCTGGTTTCAAAGATTCCCTGTATGCAAATCGCCAAGTGTTATCGGTATTTGCGCTGACTCGACGGCATAAATTAGCAGCCTCTTTGGGACGGCATTGTATCAGTATGTATGAAATTGACAACACCCAGTCGGTTGTCCAACTGGAGCACCTTCATCATAACTTGGGATAACAGTCAGGTAGATAGAATATCGTTTTTGGAATCTCCAGCTAAAAATTCTAGTTCATTCCCTTCCAGTTCAAAGTTACTTGGAGAATTCCTAACCTGTATGTTCCACTGCTATTCGGTGAAATGCGATCATTCTAAACAGTGGTTTATCTTCCTCGGCCTCCCACAGATTGCACGTAATGAATCGCTTCCTTCTAAACTCGGTCTGTTGGAGGAGTTGACTGGATTGGCAGAATAGCTTGTTGTTGTTAAAGCTAGTGATCTTGGAACAAGCGAATAAAACTAGGGGCTTCCTTGATCGATTATCAGTTGGCTTATTATCATTTTCGCCATCATTTTCTATAGCTTTAAAAGCCACGTGCATGTTGTACAGTGGTTATAGCTCGCATATTTTCGTTCCCCGATGGTCTGTGAATGTAGGATTGGATATCGATGATGTTCAGATTACCAACCATGATTTATCATCAATGCGTGGATGCAGCTGGAAACTATGAGAAAATTGGCGAAATAGTTTCAACAAAAAACAACAGCTGTTCGACAGTGCCGAGAAACTGAACGAATCATATCGGTGAAAACTGCGTGTGGGTAGTGCCTTCACACCAAGCATATCGAAACATCAGCTGTCTCAAGTGTTTGTTGAACGATAGAACGAAACACAAACTCATCCATTGCTTCTAAATGCGCGATGCCCGCAACTCCGCACTTGATGCTTGCCAAACCCGTCTATCCCTCCGTGACAAAAACGAAGTGTCTTGGGTTGATTCGGGGAGGCCAGACATTCGCACGGAAGCCATACAGTCGGGCCTGTGGTCCGGCAGATTGTCACGTACCTCGCGATTGAAAGTAGCGAGTTTTGACTCAACTCGTTTGAAACACGCGTGCTTAAAAGCACTGAGTGAGGAGGTTCGTCATGTTTCCATAGTATCTGGACGCCAAACTTCATAGAGTTTTCTGATCACTCACAATGTATCTTACAAACATACACTGGGGTGTAATTTATTGAATCTGTTTAACCATTTTTTCCATAAGATGTCCACATAATAATAATAGTACAATATTCAGCACTGTCGAACCAGCTCAGCACTCTAAAACAACTGTTCAGAAAGAGACTCCCGCCGAGTGTTAAAATGCTATCTTCAAAGGATGAACCTAAAGGCATCTCGCGTCTTGAATAAAACCGACCCTTTATGGTATGCTTTTCTTACGGAGATAAGTATCAGTAAATTGGTATGAAGAGTTTCTTGCCCCACTATTTCCGTCAGTAGAGTTAGCAACGAGGCACAGTTTAACTCCAGTTGGATGTGCTGTACAAATTTCGATGTAACTCTTTGTTTGTTTGAAGCAGCAACGAGGCACAGTTTAACTCCAGTTGGATATGCTGTACAAATTTCGATGTAACTGTTTGTTTGTTTGTTTGAAGCAATGTGAACTGAACCTCCCAAGCTAGCTTTGTGATCCATGTCATGGGGCCTGTTCAAGTTCCAACGGTCTAATTTCAACTATGGATGGGAGGGGTGCGAATGAATGCTAGCCCGCATTGGGTTGGTTCCGACGGCAACGATCAAGAACAGTGATTTATGCGGGTTACTTTAACTATCCAGACCCGTATATTGGGTTGTATTCTCCGTAGGTGACGGTGAAAGTGCTGTCCAAAAGACCATGGTGATCAGTCAGCCCATGACGTGCTACTAGGCTACGCACAGCGATTAGGTTCGTTGAACTGCAATTTGTTAAAACAATAAACCAGAAAATCTTTAGTGTTATTCAATTAATTAGCAGAAAGAGTGCATATTTTGCGGTTACATCCCGGTTCATTGGTCGTCCAATAAATGACTAGGTGAGTGTTATTCAATTAATTAGCAGAAAGAGTCCAATAAATGACGAGGTGACTCAGTGGTTGGAGCACGAATTTCCTGACCAGAAGGTTTATGGTTCGAACCCGACCTCTGGTTCTCAACTTTCCCTGCCCAGGCTTGAGCAACCTGGCAGTAGCACAGCCCTCGTGCTTCCTTCTGGTGGCATGGCAATTAGGAACCTAAAGGGTGCCACAGCTGAACTATGTGTTGACCCGAACCTGCCAGATTCGACGGTTTTGACAAAATAACGACGGTAAGAACTTGAAAAATGGAAACTTTAACACGATTCAGAAGTTGCACAATTACGTGTTTGCCAGTTTTCCTCATTACTGATGTATAGTTGTGATTGGTGGCTGGGATGGTCACAGAGCTTAGCAATTAGTTGCAATCATCCGCTAACGTCTGAACTACCAACGTTCTCCTACATTCTCAACTTTTGTGATTTGGTACCTAATAGCCTACAAACATCAATAAAGCTTCGCTAAGTTTTTCAACTATTCGGGAGCTTTTCCCCCGAAAAGTGTCTCTTGTTTAATTAATCCGTTCGTTAACCAGCGCCACCAGAGGATGGAGGTTGCAACTGACTCACCTTGTCAACGCTTGATAGTCTTACTACATACTTCATGAAAGCAGAACACAGTTTTACCCATAAATCACGTACTACCGTCGTTGTAAGCGTTATTCAGCGTTTCATCCGATTTTACCTGGGAGCGTCTACTTATTGTAGTGGGTTGCTGCAACTGTGCTTTTATTGCAGGTCTTTACTATTCAGTATTCAAATGAATTCGAAACTTCTTTCTTCATTGGAAACTACTTGTGAAGCTACGCGTAGCCGCTGATTAAAAAAAATAAGATTCTACAGAACACTGCCAACAGCCTGTTCTTCTGCATCGAGGATTGATAACTTACTCTTCCCATTGTCTTACAGTTAGCGAAGAATAGTGCGGTTTCATTTGGGGGCCTGTTCAAGTTCCAACGGTCTAATTTCAACTATGGATGGGAGGGGTGCGAATGAATGCTAGCCCGCATTGGGTTGGTTCCGACGGCAACGATCAAGAACAGTGATTTATGCGGGTTACTTTAACTATCCAGACCCGTATATTGGGTTGTATTCTCCGTAGGTGACGGTGAAAGTGCTGTCCAAAAGACCATGGTGATCAGTCAGCCCATGACGTGCTACTAGGCTACGCACAGCGATTAGGTTCGTTGAACTGCAATTTGTTAAAACAATAAACCAGAAAATCTTTAGTGTTATTCAATTAATTAGCAGAAAGAGTGCATATTTTGCGGTTACATCCCGGTTCATTGGTCGTCCAATAAATGACTAGGTGACTCAGTGTTTGGAGCACGAATTTACTGAACAGAAGGTTCATGGTTCGAACCCGACCTCTGGCTCTCGACTTTCCCTGCCCAGGCTTGAGCAACCTGGCAGTAGCACAGCCCTCGTGCTTCCTTCTGGTGGCATGGCAATTAGGAACCTAAAGGGTGCCACAGCTGAACTATGTGTTGACCCGAACCTGCCACATTCGACGGTTTTGACAAAATAACGACGGTAAGAACTTGAAAAATGGAAACTTTAACACGATTCAGAAGTTGCACAATTACGTGTTTGCCAGTTTTCCTCATTACTGATGTATAGTTGTGATTGGTGGCTGGGATGGTCACAGAGCTTAGCAATTAGTTGCAATCATCCGCTAACGTCTGAACTACCAACGTTCTCCTACATTCTCAACTTTTGTGATTTGGTACCTAATAGCCTACAAACATCAATAAAGCTTCGCTAAGTTTTTCAACTATTCGGGAGCTTTTCCCCCGAAAAGTGTCTCTTGTTTAATTAATCCGTTCGTTAACCAGCGCCACCAGAGGATGGAGGTTGCAACTGACTCACCTTGTCAACGCTTGATAGTCTTACTACATACTTCATGAAAGCAGAACACAGTTTTACCCATAAATCACGTACTACCGTCGTTGTAAGCGTTATTCAGCGTTTCATCCGATTTTACCTGGGAGCGTCTACTTATTGTAGTGGGTTGCTGCAACTGTGCTTTTATTGCAGGTCTTTACTATTCAGTATTCAAATGAATTCGAAACTTCTTTCTTCATTGGAAACTACTTGTGAAGCTACGCGTAGCCGCTGATTAAAAAAAATAAGATTCTACAGAACACTGCCAACAGCCTGTTCTTCTGCATCGAGGATTGATAACTTACTCTTCCCATTGTCTTACAGTTAGCGAAGAATAGTGCGGTTTCATTTGGCACTCGTGCATCATTCAGCCAGTAGCCTGAATGCGCCGGAACACGCTCACCGTCACTGCTGTCACCGTGCCAAAGTTTACCCCGACAGCCTACATCGCCTCTGACTCGCACGATGCGCGCATACAGATGAAGACCCCTGACTCAGACACCATATGGCCCGGACTTGAATGGTGGACCTCATTCTCACCCCCAACTCAGCATGGAGACAAACATAAAAATTAAACTGGTTCCATAGTCAGCCTGTTTCCATCTTTAAATCCGAGAACGCTGTCAGCACTGTCTGATGGGTCCAAACAAGTGCAGTGGGGCTAGCAACCAACCGAATAAATCAACAAGCCAGCAGACTCCACAGCTAGGTAGATGCGCAAACGCATGCGATCATGTTGATATTCGTATCGCGGAACCATGACAACAACACGACGGGTGTAGAACCAAAAAACAAGAACAATGTGTTTCACGTCCAGACTGACCAGATCAGCGTCTTGGTTGTTTATTCCAATCTATCCAACCGGGTCCATCGGTCGGTAAGCCATGCTTATTTTCTAAAGTGCAGCTGACATTCCGGATCGGATAACAATGGAAACTGTTAGTTTTGTACTTTGTTCGAATGACAAATATCAGGAGGGCATCGCATGTTTCGGTTGGGTCACACAGGGAACCAACGCGTGTGTGTACACATTTAGAGACATTCACAAATTTCGTTACTTTGCAGAGCAACAAATGGATATCTTCTGAGTGAAAGGGTGCCAGGTTTAGTCGTAAATGTGTGCTGCATGGTAGAACTGAGTTTGCCGTTGGCGTATACGAGAAGTACCCCTATGAGCTTAACTGGGCCTTTCCTCCGGTACTTTTGAAGAAAGGATGCCTGACGCATGCCAAGAGTGTGTACTAAGATAAAGCACATTCCGGTTGTTCGAAATAAGAAATGGAAATGGAATTCAGACCTTCGTTTGAAGAATGTCGCACTTACAGACGATTGTAGATCATTGGTATCACCAAGTGTTTCTTCAGCCCTTGCGTGTCATCCGACGGACTCCTGACGACTGCAACCAACGAAGCGTTCGTCTTCTCAACGTTTATGGTGTATACCAGAACGACGTAATATTTACCATAAGGTTGTGTCTTCAACGCCGCGTATTTTGTAGTCAGCTAGAAGAATCTTAATGGGATGTCAAATAAATTAGAAAATCGAACCTACAGTTCCTATGTTTTCTGCGAGAATGCAGTGAATAAGTCACAAATCGTGCATATTCTGCAAGCAAAATTTTGATCACAACGCGGACGAGCAGTTTGGATCAACTTCCTGTAAAAGTGACATGTGATCGCAGGACTGCTAGGAGAAATTACAGAATATGATCCTTGTGCGGTGGTGTGATCGAAGACACTTGTGTTATCAATCGAAATATTGTCATAACCTACTCTAACTGATGCGTCCGGGATGTTGTCTAAAGTTGTCGGTCATTTCGTTGCGTGCTCAGACAAGTCTGAATATTACACAAGTTCCCACTGTGAATCCTCTAAAATTGCCAGCTGTCTTCCTCGATATATCTGGTCTGGGAGCGATCTTTTGGCCAATAGTATGCTTGGAAATGACCGCATGATGGCATGTCCTAAATCAAATATTCAAATCGGAAGAAGTAGGCTCGATGGATATCGAAGCCTGATGAGCTGGCCATAGAGTACAAGAATATAATATTATTTCTGAGAAATGCAACCTGAAGTTGAATTCATCGACTTTGGACAGTCGTTCCACATTACTTAATTCAAAGACCAAAACTAGCTTAGCCTTTTGAATTTGTGATCACTGCATGAATTGTATGGAATTAATCACACTTTCGGATACTCTACTGCTAGTAACATGATCTTAGGTAAACGGACCACCTAAGTTGTTGATTGGAGGTTAGCGTTAGCTGCGAGCCAACATTTAGTGAGTGTATTCCAAGCATCATACACCCTTGTTAAGAACAACAACTGATCCAAAGTTTTAGACTCTGGATAGCTCATATCCGTACTGTTGGACACTGTCCCTGTCGGGGTATTAGGAGGAACAAGTTTGCATTACGCCCTATTCACTATACTTGTATGTAAACAACCCTTGTTTGGTCTGGAAAGTGAACGATATTCAGTCACGTCTGACATGTTTAATGAGGCTTCACTAAAACAGCTTTCATGAAGAGGCTGACCACTGGTACTGCACATTTCTAGCAAGCAAGTAGAATTGTCTGATCTGGATGTGCTTGGATTGGGGGTGGGGATGGGGTAGTTGATAATGGTCAAGCTAAAGAAGCAACAACCGAACACACTTGAATGCGTTCAAACTGGTCTAGACTCAAGTCACCCAACTGTCAGATGGGATCAAATCTCATTCACCAAACTGAACCTGTTATTGTGAAGAAGCCGAAAGACAGACATTTATGGATGTTGTTACCATCTTAGTGCACTTCAAAGTCAGCATATTCAAATACGCTCTGTGTTGGTTGAACGTGTTTGTGATATCCTGATATACATCGCCTCACTTGTGCTAGATAAAGCAAAGTGCGCGTTAGTGGTACAGGAAGTTTTCGGCTGTTGAGTCTCCTGGAACTTGCATAGCAAACTGCAAATTAGAATCAAATTGATAGGCGGGATGAGGGGCGGAGTCTTAAGTGGGTTACTTTGTATACCCCACAATCAGTAAGCAGTAGGTTCGGGATTCGGTTTCTGCTCCAGATATCCACTGCCTCCTCTATGCTATGTGTACAGCAGTTTTCAATTTACTGTTCACTGAAGTTTCTCTTCCACTTCATGAGTAAATGCGCAATATGAGGTTCAGTGTACCCAAATTACCCTACATGCGATTAAGTCCCAGTCCCTCTCTGTGAGGACCCGGTGTATACACAACTCTGATGATGATGTATTGAAATAGCTGCATTTAGAACATTCAATGTTTTCCGGCTAAAATAGCACACTTTTTCAGGTTTGATGTCCACTATGTCTCATCCTTTTTTCGCTTATAGTTAATCGAACAGTGGCCAGAAAGAAACCCTATGATTAATACTCCGGTTATCCTCCCTCATGTGCTTGGTCACTCGGCTCGTCCAAAGACCACACAGGCTCACTCTATCCAGTTGGCACCCAATGAAACATAGATCATTGTCCAAGCCAAAATTCAAGCTTTGAAAGTGCTCTGTGTGTTCTACCCCCTTCCACCTATTCACAAAACAACTGTTGTAAATAATGACCAGTAGCAGTTTCTTCTATCCCTCTTTCGGATCCACGCCACACCGACAGTCTAGTAAGTACCACATCCAAGATGGGTCACCGGTCTGTCCAGCACATGATGATAGATGTATTTTACGTCTACTTGCTTTCCTTAACACGGGCGCCATAGGTGAGAAATGGCCTGAACGGGACAGGAAGCAAGGCATCTCGTCAATTTTTCATTCCCCCGGAAAAATTGCCAGTGGAACGAGTATTTCGAAGATATTTGCGGATAAGCTAAAAAAATCGTTCCATCGTTGCACGAGCTGGAAGGCATGTTCAGAAATTGGGATTGAAAAAGCTATAGAAAACTAAGAGGCACAAAACAGCATTTTTATAGCAAACGAAGTTTTTGATCCGCTTTTGGTATGCAGTAAAGACAAAAGTTCTGATGCGTGCACAAACCTAATCAAGAAGACAAAAATATTGGTAGTAGATTTTAAAAAGTAAATTCAATGCAAATCTAAATTAACTCCACAGAATGGGAATCACCAGTGGACATTCATCCATGAAATTCAGCCAATAGCTGAAAAAGACTGGCATATGCATCTATCAAACGGTTTTTCAAGACATTGTTCATTCGAACCTACATCCCACCTTAAGTGATGAGAATGAAGGTGAACTGCCGGGAAGAACACAAGCCATTTTCAGACTTCATGAATTGCACCTTTGTGTAAGAAGAGAGAATTGTCGATGATCAGAGAAGCCTTCGTTTCCGCCGAAGTGCTGAACTTAGTGGAAAGTGGGAAATGGTTGAGAGACAATGAACTGTTGCAAAGGACGGATTGAGGACTTTTCAGGGGAGATCACAAGAATTTCAAAATTTATGCCTGCTTTTTCAGATAATTTTCGACTGCCTTACAATGTCAGCCTTACAAAGTCACCCACTCAACCCTGCACTGACGATGTCACTTCGATTGGTGATGAAACGTTTGCAATCCAACTACCAAGCCCGGCGAACAGACCAACAACCAAACAGCGCACCCGAGCTACCTACATTCCACAACATTTCTAATGTCGGTAAAGTTCTCAGAATATCCAGTTCACTATCTGCCTCAAATGAAAAAAAAGCCAACCACATCGAGTAATCAAGGAGCGTACTGATTTAAAAGTGATCACGGTCTTTAGAGAGGTCGGGCGTAACAGAAAACTATTTTATCCAGTCTCTTTGCCCCTTGTTTAATAATATTATTTCATTCAATAATTAATCGATCATTAGTCATGTAATGTGCGTATAAATATGCGAATTTTCGGAATACGCTACTCTGTCCGTCCAACGAATCGCTCTATATGTTGCTGTTTGGCTCTGCATACAAGGCATAGCTTACTCTTCTCTCTTAAGTACAACCCCTTACGGTTGATTTGGAAAACTTTGAGGCGCTCAATTAACAAGCGGTGTGGTAGTTCAGGTCCAGCACGAGGTGTTCCTGTCTGTCTATCCAACTAGCAACGGGACTTCATACTTTTGAGATTTACCAACTCTGCTTCTATTCCATATCAACTGCCAAAGTCGGTTGCTTAGTTCGAAGTTCTCAATAGATGAAACGACCACAAAAAGTAACAATAAACCTTTTGACCAGAGAGTGGTTGCAGAATAATCAATAGGAGAAGGAGAATGAGCGGATGTATTCTAACCGAGGACTTTTTGAGGCGAACGTCGAATGCGAGATTCGTCTACTTCCAACTAGAAGAATAAAGTGTATCAGTGTGAAAGACGCGGAGCTCTGTTGAGTACATTCAGCTGTCGCACCCTTTCTGTGCCTAACTGCCATGCTGCCTGAAGAAAGTATGAGGGCTGGGATTTGCCAGGTTGTCAGCTGTCGCACCCTTTCTGTGCCTAACTGCCATGCTACCTGAAGAAAGTATGAGGGCTGGGATTCTGCCAGGTTGTCCAAACTTAGTCAGAAGAATTCAAGCCCCGAACCTTCAGTTCAGTAAATTCGCGCTTTAACCGCTAAGCCGTTGCAGCAGAGATGGGGGCCCCTTTAGTACTTGGATACTCGGAAGTCGGCTGGTTTCAGGAACTTGAAGTGACTTGGAAGCAGACCAACCGTCCCCTACTGTGCAGGCTGGAGTTGGTCGAAATTCACCATACCATCACTCACCATAAGTTTACCCTGAATTCGCATCTACCATGAGTTGTGTAAGTCTTTAGATATGCCGTCCCCAGTGTCCCTAGCAGATGATTCAAATTGAGTTATTTTCGTCAGTAGGACGACAGTCACTGTGCACCTGATAATAACAATGTTGTGACAACATCCTTTTACTTTCCAGAAGGCTGTGCAACTTCTCTGAAGGGATTTCAACCAATAACTCCGTTTCTGAGTCAATGTGATTCATTCCATAAACTCAAATCTGTGTACTGAGCGTGTCAGAGCTAGAGAGAAAACAGCAATGTGCAAGCAACTGCAGGTGCGGTGGAGTATGCTAATTGATCTACTGCGCTAACGTGAACGACAGGTATGCCCACGTGACCAGGTGCACTGGCAAATAGCCAGAAGGAGAACATAATCTTTAATCCTTAGTCGAAAAAACTGTCTACTGGTCTAATGTAAATATAGCTGTGGACGGAAATAGCACATGCAGCAACAGTCAAAAGGGTGAAATGGGGTTACCAAGCTATGTTTCCTCTTAGCAGAAAAGTAGCCACCCTATAGTTGGGCAGTCTTTGTCTAGAGTTTCTCATCTGTATGAAGGATTTGATAACGGCCTTTATAGGGGTTACCCTATAGAGACCATGTGTAGCCGTATTTCTAGTACAATTGAAGTTGTCCATTTCTTCACAGAAAGAGTAATCGATGGGAACTTTTACAGAGTTGTCTAAATTATATTGCCCCAATGATCAGTATGCGATGAAAATGAGATCTGTGGGACCGATTACCATACACGACAGTGGGGCTTATGGCTGATAATGATGACTTACGTTTACGAGAAAACTGATGAAGTTGTTGAGCCTATTACGCGAAATGAATGCTATCCTAAGACTGTCTATATATTAGAGAGATGTACTCGGTATTACCGGAATTTTTAAAACTATTCCCGTTTGCCATTAGCTCATACCAAAGTGATCAGAGTTCTGCGTCTCCCAAATTCTCTGTTCTCCCCAAAAGAAGAAAACCTGGCACAGTCCATTGATGTGGGTCCAACGAAGCGTGCCAAATGACTGCGGGACAAAGTGGCGCAGAAACCGTTGCTATGCCTGGGTAAAATTAGACAGGGGCGGTGTTTGAAACAAAATATGATAATGATCTAGACCATCTGTTAGTGTGATCTCATGCAATGAAAATTTCGCTCCACCACACAATCGCCCCATTTCCCAGGGTTTTCAGCCAGTGTTGCTGGGGCATTAAATTCGGATCCAGTCCCGCCTCTGTTCTCAGCAAACGGTGAAATAGCCTCGAAATCCCTTATGACGTTTGCGCTGCTCAACCACGAGCGACAGTGACAAGTTTCTGAATTTCGGCACACCAAGTCCGAATTAAGACACCTACTTTTAAACTGATTACATGCCTTATCAGTTTCACTCCAAATACTGTGCTGACCGAAGTCGAGCATCATATTGCGTCCATACAATATGTTGAAGTCGTCGATTCAACCTATGATCGGTTAGGTCCGTACCCAGAATCTCGCTGTCTCATGACTTCTCGGTGGACACGCAGATGATGAGCGGCGAGGTACATTTTATGCGGCAACGAATAAAAACAAGTTACACGGTCAAGTTACTCTCACTAAAAATATTGTCCAATCACAACCTCAACTGGTTTGATGATCGCGGCTGAAGTGTGAATATGAAAAAAATAAAGATTAGCGAAGGAATGGATGATACAACTGGGGAAACGTTGAACCAGCAAAGTCAGGCGATTAAACTCAACTGGCTTCCAACCGTAGAGGGGTCCTGTAGGAATATGTAATTCTACTTCTGAGTGCGTTAGTTTGGATTGTAGTTTGTTAAGTCAAATAATATAAATAGTGAGAAGCACCGAAAAAAAAGCAAATAGAAGGAAATATGGAGTAATGAAGTTAAGTATTAACTGTAAAGCTGTCAACATACTACTCTAGTAAAACTTGTGTTGAGTTCTTTCAATCTGAGATACCTTGAGACGGTCGGTTAGGTGATTCTCATTAAAGTGGGACTTCAGTATTGACGCTGAGTTGACAGGGATACCAGAGATATCTCATGAATGCAAACGGCTTGTCAAGAACTTTGGACAGTTAGACGATTTGTAAAGAACAAGGAGTGCTGCGAACGCCCTACTATCACTGATATCAAGAATACCAGTTTAGGGTAACTGAACTTATCTAACTTACACTCACTGAAAGCATCTGAGGAACTCACTTCCAGCTCGTTTAAAAAATATCGCTGTCTGTAAAGCGCGATCGTGGTAAATGAAGCATCTGGTTTTCTTTGTTGGCGGAAAGTATCATTCATAGGTTTGCCAAAAATTTTCCGGCAGTCCAGACAGTTTTCGCCGCTCCTGTGGCTCATCAGGTAAGCGTAGTCCACGAACTTCCATTAACCTTTTGTTCCACTTGATCACCATATTGTAGGGAACTAACGAGGTACTCAAAATGAAACTCTCGTCTATGATATTCTTCAGCAACCTTACGAGTAGTATCTTTTGTCACGAGGGATACAGTGGTATTGTGGCTATGGTGGCAACCGAAGCATGAGGCGCCCTTGTGCAACACATTCACTTGACGAATGGTATAAACGAGAGAATCATTTAAACCTTCTTTTAGCATCATTTTAATTTGAAAATAAGTGTATTCGGGTCAGCCGTTATTCCGCTTGCTACTGACCCTTTCTTGATTCCGACAAGTTTTGATTTTGTCTGATAGGTTCTTTCGTCGTAACCAGCCCACTCTAACATATTGAAAGTACAACTTGAAAGTACCATGGAGACCGACTACGTGGTATAGCGTACGAGGAATAACAATCATTTTGCAAGTTGATCGCACCCAGCACACCTGAAAGTAACACGGAGGTACACACTCGTTTCACTTTCTACCAACCCTCGTACAAATCGTTATGCCTGCTGTTTGAGCTCATAGAAAGTGAGGTGTTCAAGACAAAAACAATGTAGAACAAGTCATAATCGAACCAAAGTTAGGCCTTTTCTAACAACGGAAGAGATTGCATTATCCGCCACCTAAGACACTCAACGCCGGTAGGTACTTAAAAGTTGATGATACCCTATGGTACTCTATTTAACCTATACTTGAATACTGCTCAAACTTTGTCACATCAGGCAACGTCACTTCTGAAATATGCCCCGTTAGACAAACCAAAAAACTTCTTTTACGTGAATGAGACGAGTATTCCAACCCATCTAGTCACGCCGGTTGACTGTTCTTTTTTCAGCAGCGTGAAACTACAGTAATCGGAATGTTGAAATCAAAGAGATTTCGGGTAGATGTATGACAGCTGCACGTTGCTATATCACACTGCCCAGTTATGGGACTATGCTTCAAAAGTCGACGACGCCCATCGGATATGCCGAAACACCCTGCAAACGAATAACCAGACACGGTATTTTGGACACAAAACCGATCTAATTATGTTTTCTTTCCTTATACAGATTTAAACCTTAAGATGAAATCAACCAACTTGAAACATGTTGGCTCTCATGTGCCTAATTTGGACGGTTAATTCAAAGTACACAAGCCAAATGCACCCATTCCGCCACTAATAGCCAGGAATGACCAACCTGCCACGCACAAGCCAAAGTGTTGGTCAATGTTCTCCAATCTGTGAGGGTTGGGCTTACGAAACATTGCTTACGGACTACTTACGGAAATGTTCTGGGTACTGCTGGGTTACTTTCACACTTCAAACAACAAACCTGAGTGTTTATCCAAGGCACGCAGCAAACAGTCCAGCGCAGTTCAGACACTACAGGATATGTGCCAGATAAATCGTTCGAGCTAGCGTCGGCATCCACATTCTGATAACAACCGAAGCGTAAAGGACGAAATATCACGTTTCGCCCTCAGCCTCAATCAGGTGAGGCATCACTGCTGTGTGCTGACAAATCTGTACCATGGTTACTACGACGCCCTGCGCGTGAGTCAAGTGTTATCACCAACACCCCCTCGAAGCCTAGTTCGAGTGGCACTAGCATGCCACAACGATCGCCGCTCCGTCATCACACTTACATAGCCGCGTTGGCAACTCTGTCCGCCCGCCCACATCATTTCCGTTTTATCAGCGGTGCGAATCATGTTGCTATGATGACTCGACGGCTCGGTAGACTGATGAAACAAGCATGCGTTGAGCAGATCAGATCTGTTAGCTCCCGAGTTTGAGGTGAGGACTGTAGAATAATATGATAAGCTCAGGTCTACAGCTGAGGACAGGTGGGGTTGGGATGCGGACAGGCTTGAATCAACTGGGACCAATTATCGCCGGCACATTGCAAGTTTGACGCAATCATGGTGGTTCGGTAGCAGAGGCCTGAAATCTCTGGGGCGCAATTAACAGCTTTTTTGAAAGCTAGGTGGGGTCGAGTCGTGACAGATTCTGTCCCGCATATGCGCTCAGACACCAGGACTACAGATGAATCACGGGAGTAGTGAAGGCGCTGAAAATTGGCTGAGTTCCGAGTGCGGAGATCACTGTGACCGAAGAGCATCAACAGACATTGGATTATGGACAGCCACATGGGACACAATTTAATACGGCGGTTCAGATAACGTTCACGGCTCTTGTGGCTTTCCATTGGTGTGGACACCACCGTTGTCCAGCAACGATAAGAGTTCATCTCCGATATACTCTCTACCGTATGAGTTGTAGCAGGTGGACACGCACACTGGCAGAACAGATAGGAGCTTATGGGACGCATCTTAGAACAATCGCCTCACTATTGGACTCGGGTGCTCAATCTATCGACTGATGACCAGCAAGATGAGACTCGCAAACCCACCTTATCGACCACCAAATACATTCTATCCACTGAAGACAGGGTTGACCTCAGTACATCGTTCTGAATTTTACTCCTCAATGTCAACTCGAGACCGTCAACTTTCAGTGAGGCCATGCTGAGCGCACGAAAGACCTTGACGGAAGCCATTAGGTTGCATCGAACTTAGGAACCAGATCTGACTGGTCCACCACACGACTGACTCCGTTCCACCGTATTACTGCCATCTATCCCTAGTGTTTCTTTATTATAAAATTGTTTTAGTAGTGAGGGTGAGGGCATAAAGACGAAATGTCGACATTCCGCAGCCTTTTTCTCCCGACTGCAATATTCATATTGGTAAACGGGACCCAATGTTTTAAATTGTTTTTTTCACAGTCTTTGTTTTGTTTGTTGCGATAATACTCCACTGCTGTACTGCTACTCAGAATGCTATCTTTTCTATACCAAGTTTTGTTAGATGAACCTGGTTTTTGGGACATCTTGGGTCTGGAGGTACTACATATCATTCAACGTGAACTACTATAAAATCGGACACATTCATTAAGTCCTGACAGTCGAATAATCTTAATTGTGATTGGGATCCGTCAGCTACTAAGCGCTGGCCCTGTTGTTGTCGTAGCTTTCTAGAATGCCACTGAGTCCACTGTCCTTTGGGCTACGAGTCCATAGATCATATTTTTGCAGCTGTATATAAGGCGCATATTAGTGGAATGAACCGAATACACCGAGCGACTTTTCCTACCACTATGAGTATGTTGTTGGCATGGCGCGTTTGAAAGCTCTTCTACAATCAGCTGCCGATTTAACAGATTTCGAGGCTCATCTGGCAGGATATAGTGAACGGTTTTCAACCAACCTTAAGCATGGTGTTACTTCCTCAGCCTAAATGAACCTATGGCCAGATTTTGCAGTTCATAGTCAGTTGGGGTACTTTATAAATGTTGTAACCGATAGTTTTGAACTAAAAGATGAATGAACAGGAAGATGTAATGCAGCCAGGTGCAACAACGTTCGGCAATTATGTGTGTGTCTTAATAATAAACAAGTGGATTGATGACCAACCAAGAGCTGAGTATGGGGAACAGCAAGAATTGGGAATATCCATCGGTTGGCCCATCGAGTTGACCAAATGATACGGTTGGACGTTGCTACCATGGTCTGGCTATTCTAAGGATAGTTGGTCAAACCATTACTTGCAGTTCAACATTTTTCATTGTCATAAAACAGGGGGCGTCCGTTCTATGGAAAAGGATTCTAGTTCGGTTACGTTCGTCTTTTCAGCTGAAGTGTGTTCAGTTTAGCACTTATCGAAGAATACGAGCGGTTTCACTGGACAAACTACCCACTCACTGAAATAATGCTCAGAAGTTATTTACTGTATATCAGACAGTTTCATAACACTGGTGACCATGGTTGTAGGCTTCTTCGCACCCCATAGGCATCTGCACTGGGTAGGGTGCGTTCAGCATAACCCACCTAGTCTGAGATTCCTCGTCGTTCCATTATTAGGTGGTGGACAGTCGCGAATAATTAATGGTCATAAGTGGTTTGGCGAACTGTTCGCTTTATGACATTGTTGTGCTAACAGTTCGCCATGAATGTATCGTTGTAAAGGATAACAAAATTTACTCAGAGAGACAGTATGGAGTTTTACATGACTAAGCAACGGAAAACACCCTCATGGACTACAATGGTGGATACAAAATACCGTCGAACCGGTCTTACACTAGGTCACGCGACAGAACAAGATGCCGTATACCGTTTCTCATTATGAGGTTATACTATCAGTTCCTGGTTTATGGGCTTGAGCGAACGGTTCTTCTCGTGAAACTTTCAATATACCGTCACGCTGTCAATAGCCAAAATCTGTCACTAAATCTGGTGCATTTCATCACGGAGACTACAGTGTCCGATGTCAGGGTCATGACACCAGCTAAGGCACGGGTATTGACTGCAGTCAATGAAGTCGTCAGCAGTTGGTTTGTGTGTGCGTGTGCCGAGTGACTTGGCACAGCGGTCCGGCATCATCTGAGAAGGCACGTGTGTATAGATAGGTAAGTGTAGCTTTTCGTGCGAATAGTGGTGAGTCGATGAGAATTGGATAGCGAATCGGCATCGACAGCCACGGTCGACATGAGTAACTGATGGAAAACACCAGAATCGATACATCTATGTGACGAACATTAGAGACCAAGACGTCACACAGGCAGAGGCGAGTAGGAGAGTGATATCCATCACTCGCAAAGCTTAAGTCACACAAGCTCATCAATTGTCAGAACAATAAATTTGAAAACCCAACTGTGCGTTTCATCTAAGCATCAGCTAGTAGCCTGGCGTCGCGCGCCGATGGTGTAGGGGTATCATGCAACCCTCCCACGGTTGCGACCCGGGTTCGAATCCCGGTCGGCGCACTTTTCCTTCCCCTCTGGTTCCGAGTGGTACGTCTCCATGTCTCTGCTCTCGGGTTGGCAAGCCGAGCTCCGAATACATATCCATGACCAACTGTGCTACTTCGGAGTGACTGGTACCCTTTTCTATATACCCTAGAAAATCGTCTAATCGCTCAACAGCGGAAGGACGTCGTACGCTTCCTGGCATTATTGATTTCTATACTACCGGATAGGGCTCAGTAGCGTAAATTCAGTGTGGCAACAGACAGATCATCTGCACCTGTTGAAAGGTCTTCAAGTTAAAAAACACCTATAAACTCCAAGAGAATGTTTCACATGATGCTACTTTGCAATAGTAGTAATTGTCGTCCTCAAGTGGCCTTAATCCTGGGACTGATAAATGGTCCAGACCGAAGACATTTTAATCTGGCGTTTTTTCGATGTACTCAGGCCCTCTGGGAATCCCCTACTTGTCAGATATTCTAAAAAATATGACGTATACATACCAAGCAGCTCTTCGGCAAAGTGCTTTTTTCGTCAGAATCTGAAGATGTCGCAAGCTGATCAGGTCTTCCAAGTACAGGAAGTGGATCGCAAAGCGTCCAGTGCCTGAACAACTCACGATTTTAAGACCATGGCTGCAGAGAGAAAACCGATGACCGATAGGGAAGCTCGGTTCTCTGTTACCCACCTGTTTCGTTGGTTGAGTGTAGTGCTGGGTGGTCAATAAGTACAGTCCTACTTCGTAAAACTATCGACCTTCGGCTCATTCCGATCACTGGATTATATCTTACTACGACTGTTTTTGGACAGTAGCTGAAACTTCACACGCCTGCGTCAGTCAACTCTGAACGTCATTTAACATAGAAATGTTTTTAAGATTTTGGTATGAACATCGATAATCGCATGTGACTGTGTGTATGATGACTTGTTTTACTCTTTTTCGAAGTCACTTCTCGCTAAAGCATTAAGTGGCATAGAACAAGGTAGCATAATAAAAGGGTTTGGTCACTTATAGCGATTAAGCCCACCGGTTAAATTCACTGATTCAGAACTGTGGAGTGCACACAAATGGTGGTATCCAGCGTCTACAACGCACCTTCGACGGTTCCATAAGAGTTATCTGCCACCCACTCTGTATTCCCGAAAAGCCTAAGAACATCGACCTTTTCATGAAACCCGTTCAACATGGTGCATCGTTTCCAGTGTTCGTATCCGCTACACCGTAGTTAAGACACAAAGGATAGGGCACGTGATATATCTAACAAAGAATCCCTCTGCAGAGTACTAAGCCGCTGTCCCGAATAAGAAGCAATCGTGAAAAATCCTCTCATGCAATGGATGAAGGCAGTACGGCAGAAAATACCCTCAATGTTTCACTTTGTCCAATTCGATTAATTATGTCAAGTAAAGTATGTATGTGACATGGCGGGTATTGGAGAGGAAAACAGCAATAACTGTGAATGCTGTACGACCAGAACCGATGCGCTGAACTGACAGGACACCCCGTATGAACTTCATAAAATTTGACAGTTCTCTTCAAACATCGTAGTCAGTCATTCACCAAGAGGCTCCATGGGATGCTTTTCGGAAACCAACAAACCATTGATATAAAATGCCCAACTTTCTGTTGGCAAAGGGGAAACTCCTTTGGTATTAGAACACTTGGTTTATAAAGAAAAGGAATACGTACATCAGGTTTAGTTTGTCAAGATGACATTTTGTTACCCTAGCCAACCACCAAAAACTAACCAATGAACCTATAAAATTACGGGCATTTTGTGTTACTTAATGGAAATCAGTAGTGAAAGTTGATTACTGGTATCCCATGGCAAAAGTACGAGCCGAGGCGCACTGAAGTTATTTCGACTAACCTTGGCGGCCAACGCGATATCGCACAGTATGGAGGAAACTAAGTGTGTGACAGAAACAGAAAGAGGACCTAAGAGCACATTTTCATGCAGAAGGTGTCCGATTTTAAATTTGAGGACAGACTTTCACTGTGGCACCGGGACATTTTATTGATCCAGCATTCGGCAGCAGTTTTCCTGAGAAAGTAGGAAGGCAGCTTCCAAACAGCAGTCTTTGTCGACTTCATGAGTCCTGTTATATCAATAAACCCCTTAAATGCAGGCGTTTTTACGTATATGGTGTTGTACTACTGACTTGCTAATGTAATACTGAATTCTCCAACTGCTAACTACCGGAGAAAGCACCGACACTGAACAGAACGGAAGATACCCGTATTACCGAGTGACAGAGCTTGAAACATCAAATATAGCTTCTGAGCTGTAAAAGGAGGATATGATTGTGCTGCACAGAAGTTCTTAACTCGTTTGGAGAAAATGAGCACTTGTTTGTTTGTATTTAGACGTCGACAACTTCGAAACTCGATATCAACTCACAAGAATTACGATTCCCAAGAATCGTCTGTTACTCACACACAAAGGGATCTCTGTACATCATGTTGGACATTCGCAGTGGTTGTGCGTTGACATCAATTCGGTCAGCTATATTACTTGAACGTGAACACAATGCACAGACCCTCCTGAGAAGAAACAACTTTGTATATACCTTGCACGGAATGTGACCTATGAGACGAATTTGCCATTCTTGATCATGTGCGGTTTGCTGGCTGTGTTAGCAGACCTAACTTTCCACACTCTACTTTATTTCACTTTGCAGACAACAGTTAAACAGACCATCTATTTTCATTACACAGTTCTTTGCGAGGGGTACATTAGTTTGGTTGACTTTAGCTTCACCAGAAAGACCTTGGCGTTACTGATATGGAAAATTCGATTTTGGATTCTCATTAGGTGAACCGAAAGGCATGGAGCTGCTGGGGAAATATTTGGGGTGACCGTTCGCTAAGTGGAAGTTGGACAAGCTGTAGTTCACAATGAGTCTGCTGGCGTGGAAAAGTGGAGATTTACCCACCTAATTGATTTTTGTGAATAAGTAGATTTAAACAAGTTTTTTCCAGGTCGTATATAACGGGCATTGATGAATTCAGTCGAAACTGTCACCACAGAGGGGTGGACGTCGGAGTGTTGTGCTCGATGGACTTTGGATGACTCGAACTCGCATAAAGTTCTTTTCGTTGAGTTGGAGAAGAGAAGTATGGATGGCAATGTGGAACAAATTAGCCAAATATGCGAGAAGCCTTTCTGTACGATCCATGAGGAAAACTTGATTGGACCAAGCAAACGCGACCACCATTCAAGGTTGTTTTGGAGTGGTAGACAGTACTCCGTGCTAAAATGATAACAATGGCGCAAGCTATTAATCGGTTTCAGCACGCCTCTGGCTTTTTTACTCTCCCTGTTTAGAATCGGCTAACTGGATAGTTCCTCAGACCTCGTGCTTCGTTGAGGTTGTACGGTGGCCATGTGAAGAAATGACGGCGAAACTGATTAATGGGACTCATTGAAATGTTAAGAAACCAATAGGCAGTCTAATTATCGTAAGCCCAGTATACCATCTACCTGTTGTTACGGGTCTCATTGGCCGTTTTGAAAGCCTCTAGTTTCATCTTCCTGCTTCACACATTCTTGAAAATTGTTACAGCACTAGTACCTAGCGGTAACGTGTTTGCGTTCACTTTTTATGTGCAGCCGACTGGGCCTATTCGATCAATAATCTAGGTGGTTAAGATGAAGCAAACGCCTCTCCTTATTGTTTGTCTACTGATATCATAACCACTTACGAACTCGAAGAGGCTAAGGAGAAAGTGTACTGCGCTGGCCTTAGAACGCCTTTAGGTTGGACTATTTCTCCTGAGGCACTTTTTACGGACAGTGTGAATACATATACAGGTCAATCATCAGAGCGCACGAAATTCTTAGTGCCCTCATATAGGTAGCTATCGCTTTGCGTAGTGACTCCCAACCTTAACAAAAACATCACAGCTCTACGCTAGGGCTGATCACTGTTGGAAGAACCATTGATGTGAGCACGTGAAGGTGGCAGAGGAAACAGTTCCAGCCGACATGATGAAACCAGGATACACTTGTCTCAGAGTAGTTTATTAAATTGAAAGAACATCCATAGATTTAGGGCTCAACCAACCATCAAGCGCTTTCTGCCCCGTAAGCGGACCTCACCCAATTTAAGAACGTTCGTTCTGCCTTCTGCTTGTAGCACCGCTTCGGAATCAACGCCACATCGCGTGCCGTTCTCATTACTTTCATACCGGAGAGATGTGGCTTGGCTTGCGTAGTGCTCGAGGTATGAATCCAGTATAGCGGTCATAAGCTCCTCTGGTGAGCTGAATTGTGGGAAGTCTTTGCCAACGGTAGACAAGAAGTTCATATCGATGGCGTTGATGAGAGCGCGCTCAAAAACGTACAAATCAACCGCCTTTTCCTCGGGAAGACGTTGGATGGCTGAATGAGATACTGCACTAGACAGTCCAAAATCGATGATTGCGAGGCGCGGTTCGGCAGAACCAGTAAGTTCTTCCTTAGTGGCCTAAAATGAGAAGAAAATGGATGGAAAGTTTCGTTTCTGTGTTTTGCAACACTGAACAAAAAAATGAACCAGAAAAAATGAATACGAATACGCCCAAGTGAAGTGTAGTATGACGAGAACCGGTGGGCACGTTGAGGGACTCCAGAGGATCAAACTCCGTGCCTTCTACTTCAAAACAAGTGTGCTGCTCAGGTCTAAGCACTCATTTTCCCCATGCTGTTTTGGTTGGATATTAGCGGACAGAATAAAGTGACGTCTGCAGCAAAAGTTCTATTTTTGACCGTAGAATCGATCAGCAGCCTTTATCATAGGGCAACCCATCAAGACAAAAATTGAGGCACTGTACATTGGAATATTTTTTCTGAGAACCACTGAATGTAGCTCTAAAAGCACAGCCTGCACCGCAAACCGTAAATCAAGCGACAGCCGATTCACTTTATAAAGGATTCAGAACAGGCTATCACCTTTTGAGATGGGAGGGCATTTTTCACGGAGACCTATACTTAGAGGCCCGTCCTGAGCTACCAAGATTCTGTTCTATTACAGGCTCTCCAGGTGTCTGGTAAGCAACGAAGTTTTTAAACAGATTGCGCGGTTGCTTGTGACTACGACCAGGGAAATTTGCTATCTTTTAGAAGTTGATCCCTAAACTTATGAAGAATGGGCAAAATACAAGCATACATTGAGTACACGTGAGGAGAAAGATGATTGATTCCCGAAAGAGAGGACGTTTCCGAGAAGCGAACTATTTTGGTCGGTCACTCTGAAGGGGCACCAGACTTCGCTGGTCCCAGACGATTCAATCGAAAACGCCATGAATTTGCAACCAGAAGGTCTGAGGTCAAGTATCTGTGTCCGCTTTTAACTTGAAAACTTCTATACAACACTTTGATAGTATCATAATGGTGGATGCTCATAAATCCTTGCAAAAGAACACGACAGGAAATTGGGAAAGCAAAACACCTTTTCATGTCAATAATAAAGCAGTTTACCTTGTGGACAAGAATATTTGCCAGAGTTAAATCTCCGTGCACCACATGGTTGGCATGAAGCCGAGATAACAGCCGACCCAAAGCGGAGGTTATTTGCTTCAGACGAACACCGGCGTAGTGTTTCAGATTGGGTAAGGAGTCTCCAGCGGGAGTTGTTGGTGTTTCAACACAGTCTGCAGCTAACTTTTTGAACCAATCATGCAAAGTGAGCGCATCAGGACCGATAAGTCCAAGCCAAATACGTCGTGAGGGAACATCCACCTGGAGTACAGCGGGCACATCCAGGCCCAGCTTACGACAGTGTACCAGAAGACGTACCTCGGCTCGGATTCGTTGTGCAGACAGACTGCTGTCCAGGGTAGGATGGCGATAGGTTTTCACGAAACGTTCTTTAACGATACACTTGCGGGGACTTGAGGATGTATACAATGTGGTACTGTACAAGCGGGCTTCTGCTCCCTGATATACTAAGGTTCCTGATGGAGGAGGTGACAAATGTGGATGTGATGGACGCCCAAGTGAACCGTTCGCTGAAAGGTTAGGACCAGAGTTCATGGCTAAAATGACAGATAAGTTGTAGTTGAGCCTGGATAAATTCAGCATATATATACATATGTATGCATAGAAAGAACCACTTACCACTGAAACCCCTTACTGAAATTTGGTTTCGATTCAAAAAATCATCTAACCATTCTTGTGACGCTTGAAAATTCTCCAAACCGTGTTCAGCTGCTATTCGAACTGCTGCCTGTAGTATAATGTTTTCAGATAGTCTTAATCCGGACGAGGAAGCATTCTGGTACCAATCCAAACATAAAGTATCTATCAGGTCATCATTGGTTCGCTGCTCATTCTTTTCCCCCGTACTTTCATTGGGAAGTACGATAGGGCAACTCGAAAAGTTATCGGTCGTCCAATTGGTGACTGTCTCAGGCACACTCCCCAGTCCCGGTTCCGGAACACATGGTGAATATCTTTTTCGCTTTGATTCCGTTTCACTGGACATGAAGGACCTGAGTGGAAAGTTGCGCAAAAACAGCGAATGAAAGGCCTCCATCAGGTTAATGGGGACTGCGTAAGCAGTGAAAGTCTAGAACGGAGAATTCGATGTGAACTTGAATATACATCCAAACAAATGCCGGCGGATAACCAGTTGCAGTGTTCCGTCTATTCGATACAACAGTGTGTCTGGGTACATAACTTGCCAGGAATCGGATATTCCAATGCTTTTTCTGGGAATCGTTCTTGCAAAAATTAAGGAATCCTCGCTATTGAGACCTGATCTGCATACTTCCCGAAGTGGCTATTCAGAAGAAATACTGTAGAAGCGGCGTTGTTCCAAATGTACTGTAAGGACTGGCTTATTTGAAACCATAGGGCGACTATAAGACTACATTATTGCGTAATAAAGGCAGTTTACCATCAAATCAAAATGGATATGTGATTTACCCGGTACAAACTCAACTAAAAGTTCTCCATCATACGGAAAGCAGCATTCCTTAAAAATTATTTTAAACAGGTTACTACATACATTTTAAATGTCCCCCCATTCTATGAAATTCTCTAACGAGCAATATTCTCACAGAAGCTCACCTACCCGTCACTTTCGTACAACCAGAATCTCTTTTGCATCAATAACAAAGCAAAAGCGCGTCACCGTCATTCTCATGGACAAATGGTCTTCAGTATTGTTCCACTTTTGTTGATTTACGTTCCCCACTGGCTACTGAAAATTTCTACCCATCCCGCATGCCCCTGCCGTTTTTTTAACACTACCGGATCCTATTCGCCAGATATTTAGGAAACGTTTATTCGCCATTGTGTGACGAGATCTAATTGCTTGATTGACACCCATGGTTGACAAGTCTCGATTCACTGATAATGAATGAAGATGTGGACAGACAGATGACAGTGTCCCACTCATCAGTTGTTTACTGTGTAGTTTAACCATATGACTATGACAGAAAAATTTTTCATCGCATGCCTCGGCGAAGCAACTGAAAACAGTGGAATGCCCAGTGTACTCACCGACAAATATCGCACAGAACTGGCCTCCCTTGATTCATACCTAAGTTGACTTAGGTTCCATAACCCTATAAAGAAAGATATGAGCCATTGCAGAAACTGAATCTTATCGTAGTTCGGTGAGCTGCGTGTGTCTGAGACACGTTAAGCTGTATTTTAAGGTGATCATATGACACATACAAAGTATCGCACATCAGGTCGGTCAGTGGATATGGGTTTTCTGAACCTTACAGCAGAGAGTTAGAAAATGCAGCAACATGTTATCAAAAAACAAAAATACCCCAGCACGCCTAGTCAAATACCGATATTTTTCGGTTAGGTCTCGCTCGAGGATACTAATCATCTCCCTGTTCAGGTGCCGATGTCCTAGCAGTATCTGAACCTGTGTACAAGCACGACTCACATGCGCAAAATTGTTCTCATGTTGCAACGGTCGGTAGCCAGGTCGTCATACATGATGCATACAATGGGAGGAGGGATATGCGGAAACGGACTACAGCTAGCGCATCTTTTCTTTTTGTTTCTTGTTCCTCGACTCTCCTCCACCCCATTGACAGATATCACCTTGTGATTTCATCCGTTATGAGTGGCGACCTGATTCACCTTGTATCGTTCCTAGATGCGACGTCTGTGCGCCGGTCGGTGCTGGGAGCTTCAATCACACCAGTCACTTCTCAAGCCTGGACGTTCAGTCTACCTTGCTGCTGGTAACGTTTGAACCCTGAAATAAGCAGGACACTAGATGTGCTTGAAATGAATGTGTGCTGCGCATTGGGAGCAAGAATCCACGAATCAAGCACAATCGCTGGGATAGATGTCTCCTCTCGCTTCCGAATGCACAATCCTGCTGATTTATGGGAAGTTGACACGCAGTCGCCCGCGCACATAGTGTTTGGCCTCTGGGAAGGAACCGCACAGACGAAGGATCAATTGTAACTTGTCTATTGCCTGCTTATGCCTTAACGGACTACACTTCTGGTACTGTGGAAGACAATTTCCATGATGCTTCGGGTATCTTGTTATGTGGACCTGAGAGCTCGGACATCGTCCTGGCGGCCAGAGAATTGAACGCATAGATAAGCTGAATTAGTCCGGTTGGGAAGTTGATTCAACTCGTGCAGCTGAGAAGAAGTTGAATTCAACTCGGTAAGTACGAACAACGACGGACGACTGCTTCCCACTTGCACTGACCATTACCTGTCCTTATGCAAAACCAACTTCTGGAATGATGAAAGTCGTCTGACAACTTGCTGTCCTCCGAAAGCGAACCCAAATTGACCACGCAGTTATCGATTAACCAATGGCTGTCTTCTTTCGGAACACTTGTGTGGATTCTCATGACGAACCTGTTATCTTTTTGTTATTTTTGGTGGTAAGCAAACGGCGAAAAATTCGTTTAGTAAGCGAGGGACTTGAAAGACCTGAAATCAAATGAATCTCTTAGAATCAAATTCTAGACTGCCGATCAACTGGTCCATTCTCATTGAATTGCGATGGCCACATGCTTGCATGATACCGGGAGTTCTGTCTGTGGCACGGTACAACAAGCTACACTTAAGCATAGGACGTCAGAGAGAACAATCACACTGACTGAATCTCGGAACACTGACCCCGCCGACCCTGAATACAATTCATCTTGGCGGATTATCGGACGTCGATCATGAGACCTTGCAAGCGCGGACGGTAACAGAAGCAGAAGAGGTGAAATATGCCAGGACCACCAAAAGTTGGTCCATTCAACCCACCACAGGTTCGGCCTTCTTTTAGGTCCATCAAATAGATGCAGTTCCCGGTCTCCGACGAAATCAATCCCTCACAATAACAGCGATTTTGGTGAACTTTTGATGGCCTGTGAAGCACAGACTCGAGGACAGCAAGCGAAGTTTCAGCCCGGTAGAAGTTGCCGTCATCAGATCCTCACACCCCATCGGCATCTGCAAGGCGATCTGGATTTCCAAAGTGTATTGTTCTGTTCCTATTAACACGCTTGTTCAGCGAGGAATATCCCGGAAATCTGTGAATATAATATCCACGGGGTTTCGGACCTGTGGGCCGTCCAACCGCGGACTGATAATGTCTTCTGGAATGGTGACGAAACGTTTGCAGGTCATTTAGCAAGCTTGGCAAACAGATCAACAGCCAACTGAGCTGTGAAAATCTATGGGAGTTCTTCAAAGGCTCTCCAACAAAACTGGTGTCAGAAAAAAATGTTCACTCCACATTCCTAATCAATCTTGTGTTCAGTGACATAGCGGAGTGACAGTCTACGGGTCTCCAAGTACTGCATCTGGTCGCTGACGAAAGTGTAGCAGCTGGAAGCGACGTACCCTTGGTACATGGTCTATAGCTAATAAGCTGACTGACCTAGTTGTGAAGTAGGGGAATTAGACTGATGGATTTGTTCACAGTCATAAGCTCCAATGGCTTAACCATTTACTGCATACGCAAAGTCATCGTCTGCGGAAAATATTGCTGCTTTCCGAGCAGTCAGACGGATGTGAAAGCGATTACGAGGGTTGAGTTCCGTCAGCGCGATCCACCTTTCAGGATGGCGTCCGCGTGACCTTCCTTGTGCTTGACTTGGCCACTGAAAGAGATAGCTGCTGATCGAGGCCGATGGCGTTCCGGTCAGTTTAAATATAGCTTTTTTGAATAGATTTCTAGATGTGTGGCAGCCCGGAGTCCCTATGGTGAGCTGACACTGATGTTTATCTCTTCCATTAAACCATCATGTAATCCTTGGAAGATTGCATGACCTGGGGGATGATTATGCTTTTCGAATGCCAGGCACATGCTAAAAAATGGAATGGACCTTTGGAAAACACTCATTTTCGCCTGCTACTTGTTGGAAACGAGAGCGATGTCACTCACAGGCGTCACACTGTCAGGAAATTCTTCGAACAGAAAGGGTTCGAAGACTCCCCAAAGTTCGTTTCGCTATCTTATTAGTAACGAAATCGAACAGAGTAGTCGGTAATTTTTCTTCTGATAAAAATTCACCAACCGAACAGGCTTGCCTTTGATCACAGCAAACCTACCAATGAGTTTCGGAACTGATTCAACCGGCTGGGTCAGCTCAGGCGTCGCATCCACTTGTGACCTGATTACTTATGGGTGGTCAGCTAGCTCCTAAATTTTCACGATCTGTGTGACCAATTGAACTGAAGCATGCATACCCTACGCGCAAGTGAAGCCTGAAACCATGTGATGTTGAGGCTGAACCCGAATTTCAGGTAATCAGGTCGTCCAATCCACCGGATGAACCCGTCACAATAAGACGCGTAGCAGTTTGAATGATAAGGACGGACCAGAGCTGATTCGGGTAACACCGTTGGGTTATGTAGGTTCTTGTCGCTGCTCAGCGTTGAACATGTCTGGCTCACTATACAAATAAGCCAGTCGGGACTAAAAGAACTGACTGTGTTGATGATTATCTCATAGTTAAGTGATCCAAACAGAAGCTCAGTGTTACTGCGTCCTGAATGCAGAATAAACTGTATCGGCCAAGCCGACTCTGGGGGACTCAAGGCATTTATTGGGTTACTATGGTTTAGAAAGGAGATGGGTCGCTGTGAAATATTCAGTGAAGTGGATCCACTTGAACCATCGAACACAAGTGTCGAGTTGAGACAATGCATTCCTCTCATTAGACTATTCGGCATTCGTAGTCATCACACGGGTCGCAGAGAGCGCTAGACACACCAGGACGAACCTAAGCTTCAATGTGCTTAGTATTCTTAATAACTGTGATTACCACTAGGGAGGCTATGGGCTTTCGGGTTTAAATACAGTTCTTAGAAGCTGAGCCAAGCGCGCAGCTATCTTAACATGCTTAGGCCTGTATAAAACAGGAGGAATACGACAAGAGGATGAAGAGGAGGTAGTAATCAACCAATGACCAATGGTTGTCAAATTAGGTAATGGCAACTAAACAGTTGAATCCAACAGTGCACACACACCTATGGTTTAAAACTTGTGGCATAGGACGATGGGTCTTAAGTGAGTGACTGTAGTTTCTATTTGATGCGTGAGCAGTGCCGTCTATGCATCAATTGCTCCGATGGATTGTAGCTATGACCAGATTCTATCGAGAGGGATAGACCAGACACAGTGGTAACCTTGGATATGAAATATATCAGTGCTAACATTCATGCCCTGCCCCAAACCAATCTGTACTTCACCAAAAACTTGCATTGAGGTAGTGGCTTGAGCTGTTGTTCGCCTCGTTTACGGAGGGAAGCTGGGTATATGTATAAACTCCTCATTTGATGTCTCAATTTTTCCATCCAGCCAATTTATTCGGTACCTGTGACGAATCATACTGTTGAGAATGTAGTGGCGCAACCTGTCCCAGTGTGCCGTGTTCAAGCAGAAAAATGAGATTAATGGAAACCAAAGGACTATGTCCATCTGGTTAGGCCTAAGTGAGACAAAACTGGTTGTTGAAGAGATTTCATCAATCTTTTACGCAATGCTTAACCCTGTCTGGAACCCTAACCACGCAGTGCATCGGCAAGCGCACCTAAAAGCTAAAACTCAGTTTTTCTACTGTTGGATTACCTTCGGCTACAGGTGAGCAGCTGGTTAATACAGTAACGTTGCTGTTAATACCATACCGGAGACGATAAACCCGACGAACCATAAAAAAAGCTAGAGGTGGGACAGCGCATGACAAGCAGCAGTAAACTGATTTCAAGATCACGGGGAAGAGAGCACGAGGACTGCTTCAATCGATGAGGCCCGTTGAGCAAATAAACCCTTTTGACTCCTTCTGACATCCTACGTTTATTCCCTATAACATGGTAGCTACCCTCTAGAACGAGATTAAATAAGGAAGAGCAATAACATGAAACAGAAAATTCTTGCGAGAAACGAAGTCCATTCAGCTGTCGTACTGAACATGAGATTCAGTCGGGTGCTCCAGAAAGGACCAATTTGACGAGGTACGACGGATGATCCCTATTGGGAGACAACCGTATTAAGGGTATACCTGAGTAGAAAGACAGGACGAATAACTGAAAACGTGGTTTCTGTACGTTCGCTTTCGCAGTAATAAACAAGTGGATGCGTCTGGGATATTGCGGATGGGAAAGTTAATCGTTCACACCATTCAAGCGGCAACTCGGTTTGGTTCAATTACGTATCCAGTTTCTAATCTTGGTAGTGGTAAACTAATCCTTGTGTCCTTTCTCTCCTGGTGGAGTAAGATTTACACTACTCGACGACAATGCTAGTGATAAACTGCCTAATGATGTTGTTTAGGTCGGCCTGGACTAGCTGCCAGCTGTCATTCTGGCACTTCGTACTAGTTTTCCCATTCCGAATTACGTATAACACCTGCTATAGGTCTCTTGGGCTAGGCAACCAGCCCAACTTGGACCGGCTGGTTACCCTGTACTAGTTTAGAACGCACCGACACCAGCGGTGCACAGACATACGGGAAAACTTAAAGAAACGAGAATCTACATGACAATGTCAACATGCAAACAAAGTGTGCGCATATAAGACTCAAGGGGCTAACACGAAAATTAAGTGGGTAACTACTGTATTTGCTCAAACAGAGGCACAGCAGGTCAAAGGCAAAAGAAAATAAATATAACAGGAACGGCATCACTCGGGTTTCTTTGGATTGTTGAAATGCAACGAAGCTAAACGATGAGATCATGGAATGTGTCAATACGAGGGAGAGAGGAATCGGTGGGCAGGGTGGGTGATCACGAGGAACTCTGCCAATCTAGAGACTTGAGAAATTCCTCTTCAGTTAGCTGAAGGCATTTGGAAGCTTCGATTAGCATCTGCGAAGAGGTAGTGGAAAGTGTGGAAAAGGTACAGTAAATCAAACAGTATGAACTCTCCGATGCTTGAATTGGTAAATTTCTCACCTGCGAATTTCTATCACAATGAGCTGGTATTTACGTCGTCGTCGAAAACGCCCACAAAAAAGCAGGCGACTGGGGATAATAATGAAGCAAAATGCGGAAGCAACTCACCAGGGGGGGTCTTAGTAGGAACAAATGAGTGATGGACGGAGTTGCGAAATTCAGTCGGAATTTAGCCGCGCGAAATTCAGTCAGCCTTCATTTCATTTTCAGTGGAAGTCGTCGTGTGAGGGTTAGCTTTACCCCTCATAGCTCAAAGGGATCAAAGATCATATTATACAAGGAAATGGGTGTTCGGGGCAGATCACGTCGGAAATATGATACCTAGCTAACTTTAGAGAGTTTTCATCAATATTGTAAATGGTATCGAGCCGGGAAAAAGTAGATCAGACCCGTCTTGGAGAAGTCAAGACCATTACCATTTAGTGGGGTGGATATTGTCGTAATTAAGAGCGACGGTCGATATCTGACATTATGGACCATCGGTGACCTGCCCATGGAAGTTGGATAAACATAAGGTCTTGCCTCAAACAATTGAAACTAAGTGAAGTAACTGACTTCAGATACAGTCTAACGACGACGGTTACAGTACTGCTACAGTGGCCATAATCAGCTGAGACTCATCTTGGAACGATGGGTGCACTGGAGACAGTAGACAACTGAGTTGCATCCAAGAGAAACGGACAGACACCGACCCTCAAAAAAAGGGAGAGACCCGGACGTTGCCCCGCTGTATTATGGGGGGATTTCCATAATAAAAACCTGGAGCCACGGGCTCACACAAAAGTCGATCAGCTGAACGTATGAGACGCGGCTGTTTCAAACCGACTGCCTCGGTTCGACAGCCCATTATTTTAAGAAGAGGAAGTAGAAGGCAGACTCCTGAAAACCTCTGCAGTCGTTCAAAATCCACTACAGATCACGAAAAAACCGTACTGCTTGGAGACAGACCCCCGGTAAAAAGTTTTAATTTCAAGCCTAAAAGCAAGGTAGCTATGTGGTTGACATCATGGATTCGAATATTTGTATGGAACCCTCAAATTGGCTGCAGACCCCGAATGATGTTATCGCCACTCGGCCTTGGAAAATAGGTAGAATGTTCCACACTACTTTTGTCGTTTAAGTAGTCCGAACATCCCGCCGTGGCCAACCCACCTGTACTGCCTGTTGCTCCTGCCAGAGGCTACACCATAGATGCTGATGACCATTTTGGTGGATTCATCTGTACTCGCCATGATATATCAGAGGAGTAATTCCTACACAAACCTCGCGAGTTCCAACTGCTCACAGACAAAAACTGCAGTACGCGCGATTCGGAGAAAGAAGTTCGAGATGTTCTTATCAAAGTTCGGTTCGTACGTGACCGGAAAGATTTTCGGCATCGCCCCTCTGAATAAAAGCGTATTTGAGTGTGGACCACAACCACTGTCCAGCAGAGTTTACTCCCCATTGAGTGTCAAAGTTCTAAAGACCTGTGGAGCACATAATGCCTCAAAACTATGAACTAATAATGAGTGAATCCCTTTCATTGAATGTTCGTAACAGTCGACTGTCCCCAGAAGAGATAGAAAAGCTGCGTCTTCTAATTGATAACGATACCAATACCTACCAGGTCTAACTGTGCTTCAAGAAGCTTGAATAAACACTTAAGTGGCGGAGACGTTGTTAATTTTCGAGCCAGACTCCTCCACGGACGAAACAGTTTAGGTGAGGGTACACTAGTTAGCTTCAGACTATTACCTTGACTTACAAATGTGCTGTAATGGGTGAGTCCGGCATACACATCAGAACCAGTTGAGATCAGTGTACTTCGACAATCACACTTAAGATGGTGGAATAAAACGCGAGGTGTAGTTGACCACTGAGGAGAAAGGTGATGTAACGGAAACGAAATAGATGATTGAGCACAACTAACCTTTTGACGTCTCAGGACATCAATCAACCTTAACTGCTTCTTGAACACGGATATGAGTTCATTCTTTTGTCTTTCTAGACGACGGTTGTCCATGGTTAACTGTTCTACAGTGTGTTTCAAGGAATCGGTCGTTTCTCGGTTAGATGAGCGAAGATGATCCAACTCGCGTCGGAGTTTTTCAGTCTCATCGAGTGCCCGTTGGAGCCGCACGTTGGCAGACTTCAGTTCAGTAGCTTGCTGCGTTGTTGCACGTTTTGTGGTCTCGTTCTCCTTTGGGTCGTAACACAGGAGAGAAAAGTGAGGCGGACTAGTGTAAGGGAAGTGGTTACAATGGTCAACTCGAGCGCAGATCGGGTGGGAAAAAACCATCAATGCCTGAAGAGATGGATGCTGGTTTATTGGTTAGCTGGTGTACATCCAAATGAAAGAGGTAGACAGCTGGACGTACCAGGATTCTTTTGTGTTGACGACAGAGGACAAACGCAGCGCTCATCCAGATAGTGGACGAAATAAAGTGCACCGGAACTTAAAAATGTGTTCACCGAGGAAAAAAAGTAGAGGACGACATTCTGACAAACCTCATTGCAAATCTAACTACGGCGAGAAATTGTGGGTATTGTAATTTTCCCCATCATCCCCTGCCAGCACGTAGGTGACAAACTGTGAGACAGGGCGAAACTAGCTGAATGGTCGGCATCTTGGTATCCTTGGATTACTGCTATAATCGATTTAAATCTACCTGAAGGACAGCATCTACTTGATAATCGGTCTGAAAGTTCAGCTCTTAGTTTGCGTGGGAGAATATTTAGGTAGAATATGCCCGTAGAAAACTTTTACAGAAAGGATAAAGTTGCGTGATATCTTGAAGCTTGGAGATTTTTTTGGGCGAAATGGCGCACCCTGTGTCTACCAGTGTGAGCTAAGGGTGCACGAACTGAGAAGTACATGATCTACGAGGATCCTTTCAAGAAAAAGTAAGTGAGCAGTTCTGTGGCTTCACCAATTCCCTACCATACCGTAATCTTTAGATTACGAATTTAACATTAGCTTAGCAGTATCCTGTGACGTCGCTTTGACCGAACAAAACGATCATCAGTTTGTCGTTTCAGAAGGGCGTGGTAAACAATTGGTAGTTATTTAACGATTGTTTACCAATCCCTTCTGAAACAACGACTTTTCAGTCAGCTTCAAACCCCTTTCAATTGATCTTCAATTCACCGTTGAGCGAGGAGACATCTTGTTTCTCAAAGAGATCCCCATGGAAAAGAAGCCTATTTGGCAGGGGGACAAACTGGATGGGCCTAAAATAATCAACAATTATAAACGGTGGATCTTAAACGAACACAGTGTAGTTTACTGATGGCAAGAATAAGTTGGCGTGTTTCGAGTAATAAGGCCTTAGAGCAGATGGTTAACACGGGACGACACTACAGCACGAGAGTGCAGTGAATATCAAGAATCCCCATTAAGGAGAGGTTGACGAGAAGTATACTTAATACCACTGCGTTTGGATTTATGGTAACGATTTGTAGGAGTCAATCAGATGATCAGTGATGGAGACGAATGCGACCGTAAACGGTTTATACCGATGGTATAATAAACGAATCCGACTTTAAAGTAGCTTTAAGATTTAGATGCTCAACCATATGGCTCGTGTTGCAATTCCCACTCCGAATACAGGCGCAAGACTGACTGCAAGTTGTGAAAAAATGAGAGAACACTTCAGTCAGATAACACTTTTCGGTAGACTTAACCAACAATTTATGCAACCACTCGTAAATGACCACCTTCTTTAACGAATTTCGCTCCGCTTCTAGCACATCGCACTGTGTTCGGGCCTCAGTTAGAGTTTTCTTCACCTTTTCAACTTGAGCCGAGTGCGTAGTAGTCAGACGCTGTAGCCGGTTCCGTTCATCCTCTAATTCTTGTACGCGCTTTTTCAGCTGCGAATTGTCATCACGCTGAATCCAACAAGAAAAGGCAGAAGGAATACAGGCACAGACAATGTGTGGAGTTTCTCAGAGTACTGATAGTGCGCGGTACCATCGAGAAAGAAATGAATACTTCCCAGTGATTGATTATTTGATGGGTCAGAGTGAGCTTTCTCCCTGTAACCTCAATATAATCAGTGTTTTCTGGGAATGTCCATAAGTCGGTTAGTCGCGCCGAAAAATGCAATTACCGTACTACCCATAAAACTTTGACCATTTATCAGTGGCTTAGTAGAATTTTGATGCCTCCCCAATCTTCTGAACGTTAATTTGTGACTTTCTGCTCCATTGATGTATTCATATTCATGGGTTGTAAGCTACTGATACAACTGAATGATTCCATGAATATTCCCATAGTTTTAGCAGGAACACAGACAGAAGAACAAAGGACCAGCTATAGCACCCTTTTGGTGCCTAGCTGCCATGCCACCCAAAGGAAGCACGAGAGCTGGGAAACTGCCAGGTTGCCAAAGCCTAGACAGGCCGGGTTCGAACCACAAACCTTCCGGTCAGTAAATTCGCACTTTAACCTCTGAGCCACCACGCCCCTCAGACGAATAGTACATTCGCGAGCGAGTAGTCAGGTCAACAAACGACCAGTAGTCAAGCCAGCAACAAATAATGCAATGAATGACCACGAAGGATCGGTTATTCAAACGGGGAGAGTACAGGCAATTGGTTATTAGCCCTATCTAATAGGAGAGTGTTAATTGATCTGAAAGACCGCTGGGCGGCTGCATGATCAAGGCGGACTAGGGGGTTGTCTAAACGGCTTTTGACAGCAAAACACCGGATCTCGCAACTGAATTACGAGTGTTTTGGCAGGCTGTTCGGCATAGAAAAATGACACAAGACGACTCCATTGGACTTACCCGGTAGTCATTGCTACGTATGTGTGACGCAGTCGAGATTTTGACCTTGTTATTGAGTCTAGGGACGCTTCGGCAGGAGAAATATTAAGGTATTCTGCGTACAAGTCGTCTTACCGTGCACCCAACAAACCCCAGGAGGAATATGCAAAGATGCTTAGAGGGAGGATTGATATATTGCCTTTGAGTAATTGCTTGCTTGCAAATCAATAACAAACGCGCGTTATAAGGACTAAAATCAACGAGCAATAGGATGGGTACGCCAAAAGGCTGCATGTGGAGGGTGGGAAAGTGGCTTTTCTTGAGACAGTCATGATAGTCGGTTGGATAAGACGTTGAGGGATACTATTGGCTGTAAACTTATATGGAAATCCATTAGTTCTGGACGCGATGGAGACGTTTCAGTTCAAAGTTTAGTGTATCGTCAGTAGCATACCTTGCACGGTTTGGTGAACGGGATACTGCTGATGACATCACGCGACTGCCGATGTGGTATGATGATATTTTTATCCATGGCCTTTAAGATCGTGGTGCATTTCAAGGTAACGTTAATGGAACTCATCCGTTAGGAAACCACACATTCCAATTCATGTGGTTATCAACTCATTCGAAGGCCCCAAGTGGAAAATAATAAGGTTTACGTGTAGGGCCTGAGTGTTTTGATATTTGTTGTTAGTGGCTGAATGAGGTCAGTTCTATTCATGTCTGATCCTAAGCCTGCCGACAAATGTGGTTCACACACGCGGATAGCTATAAAAGTGAGAAGTTTCTGAACCGAAGGAGTGAAGGTAGTAATTTCCTCGAAGATGAAGGGCAGGAATTATGGAAAAAGCACCCCACCTTAACAGGCGTACCGTCTGACTAGCAAGGCTCCAGATGGCGCAGTGGTTAGGGTCCATATTTTGAAACCAACCTCAGCATTTCGACTGCTCCTGTCTAGGTTTGGGCGATCTGGCAGTATCTCAGCTCTCACGTTCCCTTCGGGTGGCGTGACAACTATGCATCAAAAGGCAGTTAGAGCTGAACGATTATCATTATTACTGACTAGCAATAACTTACACAGAAAACTTACACAAAGGTTCAACTCAGCTATAACTTTGTGCGTTTCTTGCTGCAGTGCACGCACTTTGGCCTTCAAGTAGCGGTTTTGGGAGTTTACGCTGAGTTTGGCCGCCGGTTGTGGGAGTACGTCGTCATCGCAATAGCCACCAATTTCACCCTGGGTCCAGGAGGAAACGTACAATGGGAAGAATAAAAACAGCTTCATTTACGTGGTAGAACTTAAGGATAGATGCCCAAATATTGGTGATCGTACCTCGATTTCTTCATGCAGTCTATGGAGAATGGGGTGAAATACACAGTGCACCCACCACTAACAGACTATGGAAGATGGCTTTCCTTGAGAGGATCTGTCTCCTGTGTGGGAATAAGGCGGTTCCAATAATAATGTACCATAATGTGCATGTGCAAGCCAAAGAGCTACAAGTTTTTTGTTCGAAACTGTGCACCACACACTGTAGCGTTCCTATTCATTTTTCTACTTTTAGCTTAATTACGCTACAGCCCCTTTTCTCAGTATTCTGCATACTTTTGTGACCGCTTATGCGCGGTCAGATCGGCTTCGCTAACAGACTCAGCATGTAGGTTCATTATTTGATTGAACTAAGTCACTAATCAGAGCCAAACGTTAATCAGTACCGAAAAGACTAGAAACACTGTGCAGCTATTTCAGCCTTATTGGGAAGCTTTAGTAGTGCGCACCCCACAAACTCCAGGGAATTCGATCCCCAGAGGCTGATCAGCAAGGTGATGAACCCACACCTAGACAGGATATAGAGCCACTCATCTTTTATTTGCGGAATTCACCATACGTAGTTGCGCGTTGACTGGCTCATCAAGTGACTTTGCAGATGGAAAGTTCACGCAACTGGTGAACTATCCCTCCTTCTGAGCCACACACAGCTTGATGATAGTGTCTCCTCAGTCTGTCAGTAAACTATAATTAGCCCAGATGTGATAAACCATAGGTTGAGTAAACCTTTCAACTATGAAAGCATCACTCGATAACATATAAACACGCAACCATGTGATGTGAATTTCATGATTGAGGGAGTGGTAATATATCTCTTAAAGCTCATGATCTGTTGATTTGCCGCTCGTGGGCGAACATTTCTAAAATCGTCCCATTCCCGCCATCATGTCTTATTACATGGAGCTGCAGGGTGTTCAGTTGATTCCACCCGCTGTTTTGTAAGATGCTTGCGCGGCAACCCAGCAGGCGTGAGGCACGATCGATATGCGCTACGTAAGTTCTCATTTCGTAAGTAGCTGTTTCGTTCGAGGTGGAGGAGGGGGTTGTATAGCATGCATAAACCCTAAGCAACATTTTTGATTATAACAGTCTTTTTGTCTGGGGATGTATTACGCCCGTTCGGTTAAGGATAGGCAGTGGAGCTCCTAGCATACACTTAGTTCCTGCTTATCAGTCAAGGCCGAAGGTGAAGCGGAATGAACATGAACTGCGCCAACACTGACTTACCTGACTATCAACAGTCGACACAGCTGCTACACTCAGTGGTACATCATTTTCATCAGACACTGAAAATTTAGTGCATGGAGGTTAGACTTATTTGCAGAACTTACACAAATCACAAGCTTCCATAACGTCGTCCGTATTGAGACCTTGTGCTGTTTGCTGCGATGGTGAAGAGAATTTGGGAAAAATACTTACAATGACTTCATCAGCTTCTCTGAGTAGCTTGGCAGTTTTCGCCTCCAGTTGAGCGTTTAATGTTCTAAAGTCATTACGCAACAAACTTCAAAGACAAACCGATATTCTTCCTCCTTAGATTGCAAGCCGCCAACAGGAATCGGTGGGTGTGTGCGCGGAATACGATGGGACATTGTACAGTGAGCTGCAAACCAAATTTACTCATATATGGCATCTGAAGTCAATCGAGCCCAAAAGTGTTAGTCTCGTCGACATATTAATTAAGACTGGGAAATGAACTACACGAAAACATCCTAATGTTGTCACACAGATATGGGATGGAAATGCGGTCAAATGAATCAGACTGACTTGTGAAAGCTCTAAAATAACCGTTTTACGGTCTTCATAATCATCATTGGCAGCAAGCATATAGGCAGTAGGCTACATGCCGTTAAAAAATTGGATGGCTGAGTTACTGTGCCACCCGTTCCAAACACAAGGACCAACCCTTCCACGACGAGTCACAGAGACAGTCTAGAATGGTCACATGTCATTTAGGCTTATTTATATACCACCTACACAAAGCCATAAAAAGGTCTCAACAAGACACATCACCCCTCAAGAACAAAAATGACCATCTAAAGATACTGCTTATCTGTAATACATAAAGTAATGTGTTGATAGGTAAACAAAAATCATGAGTCAGTCAAAGTTATGTTTGCAGAAATAAGTATGTTGACAGGATAAGGACAGTATTAAACGAGCAGAAGAGGATGATAAATTCAACAGATACACCCCTTTCACTGTTTGGAGTTCAGAAGTTTGGCACTTAAACCAAAAACACGTTAGCCAACACCCGGTTACAACTCAAAGGAGAGTGCTCTCCTCCGATCAACACTGTATGCACCCTTTCCGACCGAAAACTGCCATCAAGATGTGACGATATCAGAGCTGTTCTCATTCGATCAGTTTCCTTATACTCACTGAACGAAGCTGAAGCAGCTGTAAACACCGAACTTTGGTGCACCGTTTGTGAGCTGAAAATGGTCTGAACTGAACTGATGATAGAGTATTGCAACTAAGTGGAAGGTTAAACCATGCCGAAGCTACATATCCATTCAGTTCAGCTCGGAAACCATGAGTCCTGTACACATGTACATATGTATGGTAGTTCGGGTGGCGCAGCCCATGACAGTGGGTAAGACACAGAGAGTGTGGAAAACAAAAAGGAATGAGTTACTGATGAGAAAGATAGCACTGCTAATTACGTGATATCGTACAGCTGAATAAGTCCAACCGTTGATGTAATGCGACTCCGGTAACTCGACCTCATAGACAACAAACGCCATTGTAGGAATAACTTGGTCATGCTTCGTCTCCAGGTCATGCGTTGCCCACCTTGTGATGCCCTTCAGTCATAAACTGCATCAGCAAATAGGGCGCAGAGAGGCAACCCAGCATCCATCATACGGGACATGTGACCGAACAGGTGATGTTGGTGCAGGCGAACCAACCCATTAATTGGATAAGCAACTGATTTGCTGCCATTCTTGAGAATTCAGTATCGCTGATCCGATGTTCGCATGAGATATGTGTGGTGCTTCGACAGCGCCGATAGTCAAAAACAAGTAGGTAGCGGCAAGGCTTCACTTCTATAAAGCAACAGAGGACGCGATACATTGTTGTGTAAGTAGTCTTTAATCGACGAGCCAATGTCACGTGGACCCAGATGTGCCTCGGTTGGACCGATCCTAATATTTATTTTGTCAGCAATGCTATCACTTGACCTAATACAACTATCCATGAAGGTAAATTTGAATAACATCCATACTACTACGACCAGTTTTGGCGATGTATTAAGCCTGTCTGGCAACAGTGTTTAGCATACTTAAGGTGCAAAGCACATACCGAATAATATGATATTTTGGCCACTTAGTGGAACTGTATCCAGACAGAATCTGAATCATTTAGCGAGATATCATATGTACACCTACCACCCACGGTTCCTAAAGTATACCCTGGGAAGAAGGTTCACGTCGGGATCAGAAGACAGCCGAGGTTTCTTCGATAATCAAATAAAGTATAAACCGAAAAAGAAATATACTAAAAGGTAGCTCTAACGAATGCCTTTGGTACAGCAGTGAAGCATCAGTGTTGAACATTGATGTCATGCTGTCGACGATGATGATGATGCCTTTGGTAACAAATGGAACATAGGGGTTAGAAAAGTGTGGTGAGGATGGTGAGAATAAGACTAAAGGTGACAGCTCGGGGGTTAAGGCCCGAACTTACTGACTGGAAGGTCTGTGGTTCAAACCCAGTCTCAGCATCTCGACTGCTCCTGTCTAGGCTGGATAAACTGGTAACATCTTAGTTCTTATGCATCCTTCGAATGGCATGGCAGCGAGGCACCGAAAAGGTGTTACAACTGAACGATTATTAGTAGTACAGAGAGAAACCCTCATAAAGCGGTGCGACCGAGTAGAACATTGCATTCATATATGAGAAGGTACCAACTGTTGGTCTTTTACATGGATACGGGTGTTTGGGATATCCATTCGATATGATCAACGCGTATCGGACAGGAGAATAAAGATTTCCACTCAACACCGTTGGAATCCTAATAAACAAACATCGGTCAGATGTAACACCATTTCGGTGCATAGCTGCCATACCACCCGAAGCCGGAAGGTTGAGCTTCTGCCAGGTTGCCCAAGCCTAGACAGGAGCAGACAAGTTGCGGATGTAAGGTTCGAACCATGGAGTTTCCGGTCAGTAGGTTCGCGCTCTAACCGTTAAGTTACCAGGGCAAATAAACACACGTGAGTTCGTCGAACTGGTTTTATTTAACCGTGCAAGCGCACAGCACAAGGACTGTTTGCTGGGGTCCAGTTTAGTAAAGCGATTTCAACCCTGGGGCTGAGTGCAAATTAAACGCCACGGATACGAGTCATTGCGTCAGGATCACTAAGAACCAGAAGAGTGGAACGTGAAACATCTTGGTCTGTCTTAAGCGACTTGAAGTGCATGACCGAAGTGGAGTCTTCTACGCATGTTTTCGAGACAACACACATGAACAAAAAGGGAAAGCAAAATTTCGGGAAAAGATGCCCGTTGCCCAATTAGGCAGGCAGTATGCATATCGAAAGCTGCAACGTGGATGTTTTAGCTTAGTGAACGGCTACATTGGCTCCTTTTTCTAGGCGATAGTCTAGACTTGGAACAATGATTAGGGTACTGATAGATGGATCGATGTAGCACTGATGAGTGGGGAGGCGGTGAAGTCAGGTGAACGAAGTGCTACGAGGGCAGATTCCTCGTTGTCCAGGCCGAGAAAGCGGGTTTCATTGAGGTACAACAGCTTGAGCTTTTGGCTCAAAAGCTTGAACACCAACGAAGCGGGTAAGAGGGTTTTATTGGGGTACCCTGTCCAGAGCCACTAACTTAGTGGTCCGGTCTGTTTGGATGCGAAGGATCGGCCTAGCCCGAGGGTCATGAGGCAAGGCACACATGACACAACAACGATGTTACTGCGCCAGACGGATGAGTTTGGAGCCGCGCTAGGCCCGTGCTCAGGTTTGTGCTTTTTTTACCGTACTGGATAATTCGTCGAGTCAACCGTCTGAAGATCAGAGTGCGCGGTTTTTAGAGTCAACCCAACTTCTGCATCTCGAGTTCTCCTGTCTAGGTTTGGGCAACCTTGCAGTATCCCAGCCCTCTTACTTCCTTCGGGCGCCGTGGAAGCTAGGCACCGAAAGGGTGTTAAGCTGAACTATTTTTCCTTACCCGTCCTTTCTCAGGGGTAGGCAACACCACATCTTGCACAAATATGGAAGTGCCGGTAACTAAAAGAAAACACCTTGCTGTGTCCACACTCCTATCGCAAGGAACAGTGCGAACTTAACCGCTAATCGTCTCGTGGTGTGAGGGATAGACGGTCACAGTTTGACTATTCTGCCTTGACACTGCTGGCATGGCTAAGCCGCGTGAGGCGATAGCACTAAAGCCGGGCCACCAAACCAAGGGGGCAGCTTTTGGTCGGAGAAGGGATGTACAATGAAATATCCACAAAACAGTGGAGTTCATTAGGGGTACCCCGTCTAGTCTTTGTTCAGTTTCGTCACCGATGTTATCAAGGGGTGCACCAAGGAACCATAAATTTAAAAATTCATGGCCGTCGAAATCACGTCTGGAGGTAGATTAATAAACTCGGATTATACGGACTACACCGTTTTGTTGGTTGATGGTATAGAATATCACAGACTGTCATGTTTTGGGATGCGTCTGCCACTTTCAATGTGCAAAGACATATTTGAAGAATGGCATCCACTTGTGATTCTTTGAAGCATTAGAATGAAGGGTTTCAGTATGTTGATCGATTCACGTGTCTTGGTAACTGCATAAGCAGTGATTGTGCTGTGACAGATGAAGTCAGCGCATGGATAACCAAGGCGCGAGCAGCGTTCTTCAGCCTGTTATTTATGGCTTCAGAACCGAATTTCGCTCAACCTGCGTATGCAAGGCAACTTTATGGACAGTCTCACTTTATGGTCGTGAGACTTGGCCTTTCTGATCCGAGGATCCAATGCATTTTTAAGTTTGCCCACTGGTGTCACTAGAGCATAATAAAGTACTAGTTAGCTATAGTAAGTACTCAACGAGGTGGTACGTAAGCGGCTGAGATGGCCGGGGCACGTGCCTCGTACGTGTCACGTATGGCCAACCACCGTTTATCGAACAGAATATTGTTTTGTTCCAAGAGACTGTTGGCGGAAGGTTCGCGAGGGGCAGGGCAAAACATGGCAACGTGAAAGGAAAGTCAAACTGAGTTCTATGGGATATTTTCACTTTTCTGGATGTGGCTAAAACGATCCTGCTTGTACGTGGTCGGAAAGCTTACACGTAACTGACTCCGGTAGCGAGCATGCTATCATCTTCTAGCAAGCTTAAATCCGCCTCCCGCTATGTGTTTTCTTATGTCGGCGAGGTCTGCAAACGATGCTGAGTCAATCCCACTGATAACGCTTTAATCCGACATGAGGCTGTGATGTGTTTATTTTGATGTTGTCTAGGGGGCAGGCACCTTATTATTGATAAATTCGCCAAAGGATATGGGGTTTCGTCGCACCATGTCAATACCCGACCCCCTTCTATTCTATCATTATAAAGGTCCCCCATGATTGCAGGACAGTCAAGCGCCGGTATGCACTCAATACATACCACTAATTACTGGTTTCTTGCACTCAGTGATGATGGCGAGCACTCCCAAGTCATATCCGTCCCGAAGCATCGACCGCCAGGTTGAGGTAGGTTACCTACAGTCCTTACGGATGGAACTATATCCATGTACCGCTTGTTCGGCGATGCCAACCGAAATCGAAATGGTACGTTTGCGTTAGTCTTGAAGGAACTGAGGAATAACACCAGCACCTCGCTGTTTAATACCGGAAAACTCGGTTATTTTGGACTGCGTGTGCTGCTAGGGACGATGTCAATATTTATTGCATTAATACAATACCGTGGTAGCACACGCCATCTTGGTAGAAAACCCAGAATGTCCGGAGCCTACTCGGAGCAGCCAAATCGAAGGCCGCTAAGGGGCCCCCCGTACGGAACAAGAAAGCCGGTCGGCGACTGTACGGTAAAATAGCCAACCAGCGACGAGTGACAATGCCCGGTGTCCTAGACTATTGATCAATAAAGCCCATCCTTAACTGGAGACCATCAAGTTCTCAAGGTTATAAATTCATGGTTGAAATATATACACCCAAACTGATTTTCTACAGGTTCATTGTTTGGGTGATTCGTTTAAGTGAGGGATTTCAAGGTCATTGAAACATTTTGAATTAGAACGATGGCTCTTAGAGGCACACGGCGCCCAGTATTCGCACAATGGAATTGAAGTTCCGGAAGCCATGACGTGTACCTGATGGTTTAAAGCAATTGGACAATTTAGTTCACGGTACCATTTCAAACTTCTAATCCCTTTTTAGGCATCCCAGGGTCTCAACGGTGCTGAGAAAATATCCCATCAGGCTTTTCCAACAGAGGTATGTTGCTCCAGTGGACGATGAAATTTGGTGGGCTGCAAACATATGAAAGTAGATAAGGATGACTTTTAGTTTGAGCATGTACGCAAAAAGTGCAACATTTTGGCGCAAAAAGTTTTGCGTCACTCTTAAAGTTCTTGCGCTGAGAGCATTGTGCGGCTAATGTCCACGAGGCACACCCCAAATTTTTGAAACCATAGAGTTAGCCCGAGAAACTTCCACAAACGTCCTTGGCATTTGACGGTATTTATTTGGCATCCTAAAACCTCCCCAGATGGTTGTGAGTTATGTTGAAATCTGTTTGAATGCACGCAAGGCCCTCTTCGGGCGCGGAATTCATATTTCTAATTGCTGCCACAGCCCTGATGTTCACTGCACTCAGTGGGCCTAGGTGATATAACGGCACAGCAAGGGGATATGAGCGGATTGTTCCAAGAGCCCAGAGTGCGTGGTGGATCTAAGGCGGGGCAAATTGGAGACAAAGTGTAGCTCAGTGAAGTTTGAAGTTGCCCAAGCAATGCCTTGAGGAAACTGCATATCCAAAATCTTCCACATTGTAATGTGCCACCAGCACAGTCGGTGGTCGTGGAGTACTCCGAAGAGCTCACAGTAGATCAAGATCAGTTTGGCTCCTGCTCACGGATTGGACACGAATTGCCCCTCTCATCTGAACAGTTTCAACCATAGGGTCACGTCCGCTGCTGCCCCATGTGCGGGAGGGAGTCCATAAACAGGTTCAAGAGATGTTGAAAAATTGGGTAATCAAGCAAGCCCACAAAAAACAGACATCCCGTTGTTGTGTTTGTGGAGAAAGCGTACAGGATATGCCGATTTCGTGTTGATTTTCGGCACTTGAATAAGCTTACTGTGAATTGAGTTCTAGCTGCCCTTCTGCTTACGGAGGTTTGTCCACGGTGTTTCATCCGGGCCTTGGGCGCACGCCCAAAATTTTTCTCAAACCAAGGTTTGGAGCAGGGAAATTTTAATATAAAAATCCAGGATTAGATGGTGTTTATTCGGTCCTTAAGATCTTCTCGTGCGGTTAAGTTTTGTTGGACGCTGTTTAAACGCACTAGAGGTCCGCTGTGGGTGTAGACCTCATATTTAATGGCCGTCAATGGCTGCAAGTGGCGTCTCCTTGATGACGATGGAAAGTTTGTTGAAAAGCCGGTATCTTCACGTGTTTTCTTTTGTATTGCAGTTGGAAATGATCTCGAAACGACATGAACAACAATTACGCTATATATGTTGGCGCAAAGTCAAAATTGAGTAGCCTTTCACAACCTGTACATAAATAGTCTCCTGTCGTTTTGGTCAAAGTCAAGGAATTCGTCACAACTAATGGGTTTTTATGATGCCTAGTACATGCTATATCGGGCGCAAGGCGATACTGGAATATAGATTGTGACGTTAAGAGAATTTTTGTGTGTATGCGCATAGCAAGCAGTCAGCACAATAAAGTAGCCAGTGCTCTCAATGTTATGGCTACCTGCTTTCTGAGTTTGAGTCACGCGTGCCAATCCAGGAAAACGACCAAGAAATCCGAATTCTGGAATCACGGTACTATTGCAAACACAATAATATACATATTCAACAAACCTCAACGGATTCTCCTCTGCAGATACCGTAGGGTTACAAAAATAAGGCGGTACAATTACCAGCCTAAGGATAAAGCGCAGATCACTACGCCTCAAAATTGATATCGTCACAACCAAACAGATATCGACGGCGAGCAACCGCAAAATCACAATGTCCGACCAAAGTCCGTAAGAGTTATAAAAATAGTTCAGTAAAACAAGAAGGTTTCAGTTCATCTGGTCAAGGGGAATAAATATGGGGATTGGCTGTCACTTGGGGTTGTAAACGGGAGCACACTGTTGGCAAGCTGTCTTTTACACTCAAGTCCTTGCACAAACTAGACGGACCAAGGCGGTCTTGTGTGTGCACGTAACACGCTTATCCGGTAAATATAAGGGATGAGGTGAACCACGGGCAAGCCATGAAACCGGGTACGGCAATCGCGATACTGCCATCGTGACGCCGGATCAGGGTCCTAGAGGGCTCCCTACATGAATATCTTGGGCGAGTCCTTTGGGGTCGTCATTGTAGTTTGGATTCGCCAGGGCATGGCGACAAAGTAACGCCGGCACGGATCAAGGATATTTTTGGGTCCATTGAGAACCCACGGTGGTCCGTCGCTTTCATTCAGACAAGGCAATGAGACAGCCGTGTCCACATTTGGGATACCGATTAGGAAAAGTCTCAGAAAGCCTATTAGAAGGCACCATGATGTGAGTTGGACTGCAGCCTGAAATAACAAGCGGCCCAAAGTGATCACAATTTCTAACTAACTAGTGTCCTATTGACCCCGGTTTTCAAAGATCTGAAGAAAACCTTGTCGATATGATGTATGCGGACATTCTGGTCTTCAAGGAGGTGTAGAGGGCGTAGGTACTTTTGAATGGATTGATCAAAGTCCTCCTGTCCTTTGGTATGCATTCCTCACCCACAAAGTGTAAGGTAATAATAATAATGTTTATTCCCAGCCGGCGGTTGGCTTTTCGTCGGGCGTGCCTATGGGGCTACATTCAGAACAAAGCATGAATTTGTTCACAGTTTCAGGTAATGGGCCGAGTGGGCGAGTGCGCAATCAAGTGTAGGAACGGGTAAGTTACGGGAGTGCTATCAAACTGGGTATGGCGGTGTCGTGCCATCAGTGCACTAACATAATTCGGTTTCCCGAAGGTCCGGTAAGATCTTCATGTTTAGGGTGGTTGGGATGTGATGCGCAACTTGTGAGCCCGAGTATGGAAGCTTATTTATGTGCAATCGGATGCTCAAAATTACAAAGGCAAGCGCGTTAGCCGATCGGTTTCCCAGGACTTAGTCCCTAACTGACGACACTGTTATTTCGGCTGAGTACAGCATCTCTCAACTTGACCAGAAGTTGTAGACCACCAGCTGGCCGCACAAGCAGAACACACTCCAGTGTGGCATAACATGACCAATGATATTTCAGTTCTCCCAAAATTTGAGCACATTCGGCTAACAGTCCAGTGTTTTTCCTTCACTTAATGTGGAGTTCATTTACTGACGTTATACTGAGTAGCTCATGGTGTGCATTCGCAACATAACGCCAACTGACAGCTACCCAGCATCGGCCGCGTAACGCTAATTGCTTTACGCGAGAATTTTCGACAGTGAATAGGCCTTGAATGCAACCTGGGCGATACGCAGCATTTTTTCAAGGGACACTTGATCCAAACGCATGATGCACATAATGAACATTATCCCATTTGATGTCTCGTCAAACTCACCATGCTTTACTAATCTCATCCCATATCCTTATCTTCCCAAGCTTTGAACTTCGGCAATGTCCGGTTTGGACGACCTGGTTGGCTGTTACCCACTCCACCTGGCCTATGATCTACGACCACAGGATCCCCAAACGGACCAAGAAAACCTGCGATTCCGTATCGGCTTCATTCCACCTTGTTTCCTCGGCCAGCCTGAAATGAATCCTGCTGCCCAAAGGACTGCACACCCCAACCCAATTACTCTGAGTGTGACGCCCGCTAAGGAGCTATCAAAAGACTGGAGCAAGTCAGGCAAATGGTGGCACGGCACTGCCATACCCAGTTTGGTAGCACACCCGCAACTATTCCTCTCCTTCTTTCGAACGTGCCCTCTCGCCCATTCGTTCCGTTTACTGCAGATACGACAAACTCTCCACCTTATCGCAACTGCCTCCGGGACGTATTCGTTCCAGGCTGTTGGACTATTAATTCGAATTTAACCATCTCTGTGGTTCTGTGCTTTTCAAAAAATTCAATAACTTTCTATACAGTTTGGTTTCCGGCTTGCGTATTGCCATCATCTCACTCTTCCAAAACCTATTATGCACAAATTTAAAACAGCGACGGCGAATCTTGAACGAAACTACTCACCCACTCGGGCCTATAATCACAATTACGAGCAAAACTTTCATCCGGCCCCAACCATCTCTGGGACGAGTTCTTTCGTGTCCAATGAATTTTCGCTCGGATTTGGCCAGCTTGATTTCTGTTGCAATTTCGACTTTCCTCTTCCACAAGTTCAATTCCCATCACGCCGGTTTGGAGACCGGGTTTTGCAGGGATTTTGAACGATATGAAATACACGCTTTTAGGGATGAAAGTCCACAGGTTTACCCTTCTTTTTAAGTTCATGTGTCAGGTGAACTTGTTGTTTGACTTCAGTTTTGACATGGCCGCGTTCTGCACCCACAACTGCCTAGTGCAGTCAACTGAGCTATTCCATGAGGTACAAACAGGCGCTGCGAGCGAACACTAGGCGGAATATGTTGAACGCCGGCCTTCAATTTGCCGAGGCTTGTTTTTTTCGCTACAGCCCACCGTTCCCTACAGAGAGTTTCAGCTCTTCGGGATTATCTTTTTGTAAATGAATTCCGAAAAAATAAGGGCATTTCCCGTCTTAAATGTATTTTAGTCAACTGCTAATGATGAGCAGACTGGTAACGAAATGTGTTACAGTCATGAAAACGGTGATACATCCAAATGTGATAAAAGTACCGTCGTTGGCCATTGGATTGGATCGTACGGACTTGCGGCCTCATATTCAGCAGCAAGCATAGGCATGACTTTGCGGGTACGGCAAAATTATGAAGTGACGGATAACGCATACGGTCATGATGAATGGGGACCTTTGGTGGCTGCCAACGTAGGCAATGATATTTCGTGATATTCCCACTGTTTCTGCCGTTACAGAAAATCTTTTACCGTGTTTTGTGTTAAACAACCTTTCCACTCGAAACTGTTTTTTATTTTTTATTCAGCTGTCTTCCCAATATTCGCTTAAAACTGATATTGAGCGCTGCTGACAGATCCATACAGCCGAGTCAGTGTTGCACCATGCAAAAAGTTCCATTCAAATACTAGAGTTGACACAATTTGGGCATCGAAACAGTTAGTATCATAGATAAATTCTGTGATTCATTCTATTTTCTTACACTCGGCTCGCAGCAGAGAGGCATACAGACTGTAGATAGCTAAGCTCGTTAAATATGTTTTCGCAACTACGTTTTAGTTTTCTAAGTCCTTTGGAACAGTGTGCACTCTTAAACTAAAATGTTTTAGGTTTATGTCAAATTTTTAACACTGTCCGTACACGAAGTGTAGGTGTTAGGTAAGCTCAAAATCTTGCCTACTTAGGCAAACGGAGGTAAGCGACTCCAGACTTAAATGTGCTAGCGGGACTGACCATTCCCCTAAAAGTATCCACTACGAAGCCCTAAGGTTCTGGCAGAATGATTTCGCTACTGCACGTAAGGGTCGCAACAGGTGGCGGCGTACGTGGTAAAATTATGAGGCTAAGAACCGCAAACCATTGTTAGAGTGAAAACACGAGTTACACTGAGCCTCTGAGAAGTTAGCGGTCTCAAGTGATGGTGTGAGCTTTTGTGGATGTTACCTGAATATTTAACATGCGTGAGCTGTAACTGGCGATCACATCCTAGATGCAGGGACGGTGAGTCAGACCAGTTTGACCGGACATCACCCATAAGTGCACGCATTTCAGCACCTTTTCTTTTAAAATCTGACGTGCACAATATCAATGGGCTACTTGACTCACACTGAAAAGGTGCCATGTTTGGACAATTCGGTATTCATTCGGGCACATCGTGCCACTTTTGAAACTGGTTCACATTCACCTGGCTTGCCATTCGCATGTCATGAGGTTTATAAACGTACCCTTTACACCTAATAAGGACCAAGGTCCTTGCACCCGATATCCCAAATTTTTCATTCTCTCCCTAGGATTCTGTGGACGCTCCAAAGGCACTTTCCTACCATTGCAAGTACTTGAACAATACAACATACCGCCTGATTTTATATCCATCCGTAAACAAATTCTAAATTTTAGTTCTCTCTTTTTCTCTCCAGGCTGTTCTACAATGTCCTAATGGGCAGGAATGGAGCAACGTTACCAGTATACCAGAGTGAATGATAACTTGCCCGTAGTTGTTATGCATGGTGAAAACGGACCAGAAAACATTATAAGGATACATGCCAAAAAGGATTTGGGCATCTG